CTTGTTGATTAGTTTTGCGCGGCGATCGCTGATGGCTTTTTATAATTAGCAGAAATGTGCAAAATTATTCGTCCACGATTTAGTTAGAAACTTTAAACTGATTTTAAAAATTCTACAAGCGCTCAAAACATATTCATTCAGTATTGTGCTAGTTAGTTTTTGGTAAAAATCTGCCAGGCCGTTTTCTTGTAATTAGTTAAACAAAACTAAATAAAATTTATTTTGTTATTAGTTAGTCATAGTATATTCTTTAATAAGAAATGTATATATAGGTAATAACATACTAAAAGCAATTATTATAAGAATTTCGACTTTGTAAAATAGTTTACATATTTGTTTAAAATATTTAAAGTTATTTATAATGCGGACCTGGTTTCTTGTTAAGTTACGTCCTGCTTTGTGATTGTTTGGCTCCGTTTTGAACATATTCTTATACTCTTCTTTTATCTATGCTTATACTCTTCTTTTATTTATGATGCTGCGCGCCGGATACATTTTGACAGCTCGACCAACATGACGAACATTCATTGTTTAGTAGCCGTCAAAGCGAATGCATGGCAAGGTTAAATTATTAAAGGTTTGATGTATTTGTGTTTTTTTATTATTTCTAATCGCTCATTTTATAATGCCAGTTTATAAGAAAAAAAGGAGAAACATATTGAATAGAAGAAAAATATAATCAACTGAAGAGATTTATAAAAGACAATTACAGCGCTCTTGTAAGTATATTTCTTTTTTTGGCAAAATGAATATAATTCTTTAGCAAAGTGCTCTATGTAATCAAGTAGTAATAATGCAGTATAGGATTCTAATTGATAAGAAAGAAATAAGACATTAATTGTAAACATTATTGCAGAAAACTTGTATCAACATCAATCTCAATTTCAAAATGCTTCGAACAAAAACAGTATAATTAAGAGAAGATACTATCCTACGATTACTGTTAACCACATATAATATTTCAATATGAAATATTCTTTGTAAATATTATATTTACTTTACTTTACATCACTGACATAGCTGAATCAAGACAGAACTATTTAACCAAAGCCATAAGAAAAAAGTTGTGCAAAAAATTTCAATTGATGGCCGTTCAATATTTAGTTAGAATATTAAATAATAAAAGTTGATTTCTATTAAGAATTGAAGTTTTACGATTAGCAGTTTTTGAAAGAGCGACTTATCAAATTATTATTAATCGACTTATCAAATTATTCACTGTATAAGTATACCCAGCTGTATTTGGTTTTGTTTTTTTTATTATTTATGGTAGCCTTTGTAAACTTGAGATAAAGTTCTTACTTGAACTTGTAAAATTATTATTTTTGTTTCATTTTATGTACCAAACAATGCAATAAGTACATAAAGGTATTTTTACAGATTTGATATTGACAGTGTGTGAAGAATCCTGCGATAGCACCTTCTGTAATTATAGCATCAGATTTTATATAGTGAAATTATTGATGGTGGAAATTTATCTAGATATAATCAAATAGAAATACAAATTATACATGTAGCAACTAACTTAAGATTTTGTAAAGATGTTTTAGATATCTATCAATTGTAGGAAGCTGGATTTAACACATGGAATGGTATTGTGGCAAGCAGCTGCTATGCGAAGTTTGGATTACCAACAGGATAATGGTGCTAGCTTCTTCGGATCATTGAAATCTACAGTATTAAATTCAATAATAAGCATAGTACGAGTTTACCAAAATACCAAAATTACCAACTGGGGGCAAATTTGAAGTAAGTTTTAATAGTTAAAGTTTTTAATCCATCAATTAATAACTGGCATGTTATTATAACAACCAGTTTCAGAAAATAAGTAATTAAGTATACAATTATTTCCATAAATGAAATATTTCAACAACGAGAGTATTATATATAGCTTTTTCTAATATCTTTCAATGCTATTATTGAAGACATTAATTTTACGATTAGCTTTCAGTCCTTTGAAAGGACTCCTTTCAATTAGTAATTTTTGGATGTAATCATACTTTACCAGAAATTAAAGAGCCTCCAGATAATAGTCTATCTGTTTTGTGATTCAATAAATGAATTTATTGGTGAAATGGCTTTGTTATAATAAAATTATAATCAAACAACTTTATTTAATAAAAAAAACTATTTAATCAGTTATTTTGTCTTGTAGATATGATATTTATAAGTTTACAAGTTTTATATATATATTTTAGCCAATAGTTTAATTGCAGATTACCTCCTTTCATATCCTACAATTCCTACAAATAATTCATACGTATTTTGATAAATATACTTTAATGCAAATTAAAGTTTTCACTGGATTTGATGCTGGTAGAATGTTTGTATAATTTTTTTTTTAAAATTATATGTGCATTTTTTTGCTGTGGGATATTTTAACAAATATTGGTGATTTGAATGTTATTTCAACATTGATTGATATCATTATATTTGACTTGCCAATGATTGAAAAAAATAGTAAATAGACATAATATTTAACCAATAATTGGTTTTTTTAATGTTTTCTTATAAATGGGTGTACAGATTTCAAAATTTTAAAAACCATTGAGTGTCATTCGATAATAAATTTGTGTTATTAATTCTCTTCTGCGCGATAATCGGCCAAGCCATTTCTTTATTTTTAGTAGAAAAGTGCTTAATATTTAATGCACGCTTTAACCAAAAACCTTCTACCGATTTTCAAAATTCAAATAATGTTCAAAAGATTAGTTGGAAATCGTGTCGATTCATTTTTTTAGATTTTCGGTTTGAAATTCGCGCTTTTATTTCATCGCATCTGAATAAAGGTGGCAGCCCTGTGGCATTTGCTCTTGACGTTGTCTTAACAGATTTTACTGTCAATGTGCATGTGGTTTGTTAAATATTTAATTAAATTCAAAGCCTGTCTCAATTAATTAATGCACCATATCGTTTAAATGATATATTCGAGCTATCTGGTTTAATATTAGCATTGTGTCGTGTAATGTGCAAAGATTTTACTTGGACAATTCCAAAAGCCTAATCACGTGTATAGTGTAAGTGAAAGAAAATGTTTTATATACAGAGGCCCAGATTTACAATGTGAGTTGAATACTTTTTTATGCATAAAATTGCTCGATTATCATTTGTAAATTATCAAATCAGCAAGCGATGTTCGGGAAATAATTTTACCTAAATCATTACGGCGAAACATAATTCAAAAGTTTTCGAAATTTTTATTTGTAGTGTTAATATTTTGTTGTTTAAAATTTTTCACACTTTTGTCTTTAATAATAACTACTGTAAAAATACTATTATATATAAATTGCAGCATTTCTAAAAAACTTATTTGCAGTTTAGTATATTATGTCATGCTGCAGATTATAATCTATATACTACTATAGTTTATTTTACAGCATTTGTATAAATTCCTACATCATTCATATATTATATATTAGAAAACAGTTATACTGTGAACTAAATTATCAAAATATTATGACGTATTTGATAGAATTAGGAATGACTACGATATCCTTGAATGCGCTGCAGTAATAATCTTCCTTAAAGGTATTCAAGATACAATTAATTTTCAAATATGTCATTAAGTGAATTCAGTGATTTCTATTTTTACGTTTCTGAAGAATGTTTTATTTTTAACATTAACTATATAAATTTTGTAAATTTATGAAATATATAAACTTCTTGAATGTGAAGCTTTTTAATTATTTTTCAGCTGAACTCATTTTTAACTATGGCAAACCAATCATACAAAATTTATTATATCAATTACAATTCCCAATTTCTTTCGAATCTTATCAAACTTTACAGGCTATAAATTTCTTCAACATTAAGTTTAAAGGTAAAACCTTAGTCATAAAAATAAATGTGTATTTCTTTACAGTTATATATATATAATATATATATATATATATATATATATAGAGTTATCACTTTTTTTGCTTCATATTGCATTTTATCGTCACTCTTTGCTTGATCACTATTGAAGCTTTTCTTCTTTTAAGCCGTAATGATATAAAGTTAAATGAATTCTAATTGTAATTGAAATTGTGAAGAAAATAAGTTAAACGTTAAGTTTACTCTTTACTTTTTATTGCTAATTTAACAAAGTCACAAAAGTAATTCAAGAATCCAATAGCTTAGTTACAGCAATATTTTTCTACTTAAATAGATATGTAAATTTTTTTTCTAAATTTTTTCTAATATTTTATTTTTATTCTCATCATAAATTTTTTCATAGGCATATTCTTCAGTATTAGGATCCGTTTCACTTTGAAGATAATCTGATATTGATAAATAGTAAACTGCTTGCTGATTGAATTATTTAGAAAAAAAGTGATTATGCATTATCTTCAAGTGCTACAGAACCATTATTTTTATTGACTTTTGCCCATTGCACGATTTTACAATTTTGAGAATATTTTGATAATCAGAAAACTCCTTTTTTATGAATGAAATCTTGTATTCAAACCATTGTTGAATTATGGTTGTGCTACATCACCATTATTTAGTTTTAGTGACTTTTGCTCAACGACAATTTTGTATTTTGATAATCATCCTTTTTTATGAATGAAATCTTGTATTCAAACCATTGTCCTGTGCATGTGAAAAAGTCCAAGCAGATGGCAGCCGCTATCTGTGAAGTGAGATATGAGTGAGATGAATTCAAAAGCGGGAATTTTAAACAGAATATAAAAAAGACAATCCTTATTTTCTTCCCAATTGAAGTATTCGTAACATTTGCAGGCATAAAAATTATATATGTTGGAACAGGATCTAGTTGCTTCAAATTTACAAAATGTTTTGCGTAGAAAAGTTTCGTACGTCATTTCATATTTTGACATTAGTCACAACGAACAAGTGAACAATATAAAGCGCAATTTGACAGGTGTGAAAAGCAAGATAAGTGGTTGTACTATAATGCTTTTAAACTGAGTTTTTATTTAATTCTTTTAAGATGTTGAAGAATATTTTAGTGAAACCCGTATAATTTAATTTACAACATTTTATCTTTCATTTAGTGCTTACAATAGAGTTAGTTTTATTGCCAGCTTCTGATTATGGATGTTTTTACTATCACAGATTCCTCAGATGACGAAAGTTGCAATTCTAATAAGGTAAACTAATTTATCCACATAAAAGAATTGTTTTTAAAGTTAAAATTTGATTTGTGTTTTGTAGAGCTTTGAATTGCCAATTATAGTCCATGTAGAAAGTACTTCGAAAAATGAAAATGCTGATTATCAAAAAAATGGAATTATAAAAAAGATAGGTGATTGTACCCTTACTTTAAGGAAACATCGAACATCTGATGTCATTGAAATCATTGAAGATAGTGATGATGAAAGTAAATACAACAATAGTTTACAAAAGACAATTGAATCTAATGATAGGTTATTTGTTACTTCATCTATAGAAACAAACCACCAGAATGTTAGCTGTTCAGTTAATGCAAGAGTTCCATTATTGTCTTTAAAAAGCAATAATGATATTCAAACAACAAAAATTAATATATCTGTAACACCAAACATTAGAAAATCAAATAATTTGGTAATTGGAAATAGTAAATTACTGATAAGAAACATAACCACCAAAAAATTAGAAGAAAACATCATATCATTGATAGAAGATTCAGACAGCGATACAGAACCAATTTCAAGTAAAAAACCCAAGTAGAACTTAAGAGTAAATTTAAGGAAGAGAGAACTTTGCCTTTGATAGCATCCGTCAAGGATAAACCTGAAGAATCAACATCATATCATTGATAGATTCAGACAGCGATACAGAACCAAATAAATTAGAACTTAAGAGTAAATTTAAGGAAGAGAGAACATAGCATCCGTCAAGGATAAACCTAATTCTGTGGAAGTATCAACAATTAATTCTGTGGTAAAGGTAAAGACAGAAACAATCAAGGAAAATGCAGATTTACGAACTGAAAAATCAAATAGTATTAATGAGGCTGCAATTCACAGAAATGATGAAGCTTTTAAAAACTTTCTACAAGCATGTAAAGAAGTTGAAAATAGTGATCGAATGAATTTAATAATTGAGAAAATTCAAAAGTACCATAATAATGCTCACTCAGATTACATTAAATCGAATTCATTTTATGATTTAATTCAACGATCTATAGAATCAATAATAAACAGTAAAAATTATTATTTGTATATAAAAGATTTTATAGAAGAATTACGGGCCAGAAAAGTGACTGTAAAACCAGAAAGTACTACAAGTGCCACTGAATGTGATGATGAGAACAGGTTAGATCCCATAAGCAAAAATAAGGAAGAAAAAATTCACAGACTTGAAAGTGCATTGAGAAAAATAATTAAGATATTAAAGAATCTAGAAGAAAAAGAAGTTGATTTTGATGATGAATATGATTCTACATATCTGCTACAAGATAGATATGAACGTCGAATGATAAAAGTAATTATTTTTATTAATTCTTTTGTTACTATATTATTTAATGCATAAAATTAAATAACTGTGTTTTTATATTGCCAAAATATAACTATAATGTGCTGGGCCTTGCATTTTAAACTCATGTAGGGAATTCCAATTGAATATTTTCATTTCACTGCTGAAATAATGATAATTATTATTATTTAAGTCTTTGTTATTGAAACTATAAAGAATTATATTTTTTTACTTATTGATTTAGATCTACAATAAACTCTGTGAAATAACTGGTGAACAGCCAAGTGCAGGCCGTGCAATAAAACGTAAAATTTATGTAGCAATCAGTACTCACCAATCCATTAACAAGGCTGTTCAAGATTTTGTTAATAAAAAAAAGGAGTTTCCTGATTATCAAGATATTCTGAAAATTGTAAAATCGTCCAATGAACTAGAGTCATTAAAAATGAGTAATGCTGCTGAAGCACTTGAAGGTAAAATAAAAAGGCATTTTTTGTCTTTTTTTTTTTAATGATTTCAATCTTTTAGCCCGGAAAGTTTTTGAGCACATAGGAAGTGAATTACAGAGGAGGCGGCAAGCAGATTATTATTTATCAATATCAGATTATCTTCAAAGTGAAACTGATCCTGCTGAAAAAGATCCTTCTCTTAAAAATAAACTTAAGAAAAATCATGATGAGAATAAACATAAAATTCCGGAAATAATTAATAAGTAAGTATGTAAAGTAACTATTTAAATAGGAAAATATTGTTATAACTGAGCAAATGAGATTGTTTGCATTTTATGACTCTTTGTTAAATAAGCAATAATAATTCAAATACATATTTATTTTTTTCACAATTAGAATTACTTGAATTCACTTAATTTTATTTTGTTATGTTCAGATATGTAGAGAAGGCTGAAAGCATAGGCTTGAAAGAAGAAGAGGTCGATAGTGATCAAGCAAAGAGCGATGATGAAAAGGAATCTGAAGCAGAAGAAAGTGATGGCTCTAGTACAAATATTATTTAAAACCAAAAAATATAAATTTTATTTTCATGACCATAGATTTTATTAAAACTTTAATGATAAAGAAACTTACAGCCTGTAACACATAAGATTCAAAGAAAGGTAAATAAAAAAAAATTAGGAATTGTATTATAATTAGGACAAATTTTGTTATTGATTTGCCATAAATAATAATGAGTTTAGCTGAAAAATAATTAAAAAGCTTCATTTTCAATGAGTTTGTATATTTTATAAACATACAAAATTTATAAAGTTTAATGTAAAAAATAAAATATTCTTCAGATACATAACAAAAATAAAAATCACTCAATTCACTTCATAACATCTTTAAACTAATTGTATCTTGAATATCTTTAAAGAAGAGTATTATAGCAGAGCATTCAACGATTTCATAGTCATTCTAAATTTCAATCAAATACGTCACAATACTTTGATAATTTAGTTCACAGTATGACTGTTTTCGTATCAGCCTCCAAACCCAGATCATTAATCAACTCTCTGAATATATCTGGATGTAGATTTTTATACAACTGTTGTAAAATAAACCAATCGCCAACATGACATGAATATACTAAATTGCGAATAACACCTTTGGAAATGCTGCAAATGATTAAATAATTAAATATACTAATTAAATAATTAAATGGTTAATATTTTTATAGTAGTGATTGAAGAGAGAAATGTGAAAAACGTGTGTGATATATAATGGATTCTCAATAAATAAACAGTTTATGAATTCAAGAGCTATACAAAATATAATAATAATAAATATAAAAAAAGGACTGATTTAATCTAGAAAAATATGTACTTGGTGGTCGAATTTATTTAAATTTATGTATCTTACATACTTCTTTGTTTGAGCCATTAGTAGCCACACTCGCACTTCTGGACAACAGAATACAACTGCTCTATATATCAAAGCTAGGCCTGACAATAATGCTAATCCGACAAACCAAAACCAGAGAACTGCATATAGCTTTTCATTAACAATGTTCAATGGTAGAACACACAAAGCATCTTTGATCTGTTTAGTTCCTGATGGACCAATATCAGTGAATGAACATTTTGCTGTCTTCGGGAATATCTAGTAAAAATTTCATTATTAATTATTACTCTCTGAGCATTGTAAAATAATTTTACTTACTCTTGACATAGGGTCATTATCTGACCAGTATGTGCTGGTCATTATATTTTCACTTAAAAACACTGAAACAGCAGGTCCATAATTTGCAAACTCACCACCCAAGAAGAGATTAACGATAAAGAATTGTCCCACCTCAGAGAAAAATTTGATGTGGATTAATTCATTTATATTATTTCACTAAATTATAGGTTTCTTTTTTTATTACAAGTACTTCAATTTATAGAACTTTATGTAATAATAATTCTATTAATATTGCAATAAAATAGTTCTATTGTTAGATTTTATATGAGAGTGAAGTTATAATTTTGACTCATGATTATTAATTCTTTCATCTACTTTTTATAACTAAATATTTCATTGTCTCATTGAAATAGCAGAAATTTTATTTGTGCAATACATACCACATTTCCAAAATTGAGAATTTCACAAATAACAAATCGAATAGCATAAAATGCATGAGTCGCTTTATTCAGTTCAGAAAGATAACTAACCAAGTAATTTCTCCTAGCGGTTGTCCATTGTTCTTGAGACACTAAAGGACCCACTGTATAAAATAAATATATCATTAATTTTCAATAATAATATGCAACATGAAAATGACTTGCTATTGACAAAAATAAACTGATACATCAGTTCTCTCAAAAACTCCAATCGTATTACATACTTCAAGCACTGATATCACAGTGTATTTGAATTAAAACGCTTTAATACAACATCAAAACAAATTTTCCATTGTTAAGTTTAAAACTCATACATAAATCTCAGATGCATTAAAAATTTTATATGATAAATAAACATTTCTATAACAAACTTACCGAGATCCTGAGTTAAAGCCTTAATTCTTCCATTTTCCCAGCATTTCCACATATATCTGGGAATATAAAACATTACAGCTTGTAGGACGAGCACGATACTAACCCATTGATAGTATTTGTGATGTAATTCTTGTGTAACTAAAAATTATGCAAAAAACATTTAAGTTAAAAATATAAATAGAACTACAAATCTTATCGGCTCAATATTTTACTATATTTTAAAATGAATGTAAGAATGTGGATTAAAATCAGAACAAATACTTCTGTAAAATACACAAGTAGTGACAAGTAGAAAGACAACACATAATAAAATTTGTATGAATTGTATTCAAAAACTTTAAGCTATAATTAATCTCGTAAAGTATTGTTGAATACAACAGTGGAATATGGTGATTAATTAAAGTGTGGATTTATTTTATTTAATGCCTATAGAACATTTAGCAAACTTTACAATTTTGACAGCATAATAATGATTCTTGGGATATCCAAATTTCATCATGTTGGCTTAATAATATAATATTTAGCTCATGTACATTATGCCTTTCAAAAATGTTACCAAAATGTTGCTAGTGAAGATGTAGTTTCAATTGTACATATCTTTAGAGTTCAAACAATACTATAACTAATTAGGCTAAACAACTTACTGCCATTATGATCAGTAATAGTATAAGTACTGAAGATCCAGCAAAACGTATTGAAAGTCTCTCTTTTTATACCAGCAGTGCTAATACAATCAATAGGATCCCCAATGTATTGTTTCGACGTAACCAATATCGAAAACACTATTAACAATATAACTGTGGCCTTATAATGGAGTCGAAACACATTATTGTCAATACATATGTTGTCTAGCTTGAGATGCTTAAGTACAGGATTGAAAACATTTATCATTTTGAAGTATTTTATTTACAACCATATCACTTGAAATGCGTTGCTCAAAATATTTTTCCACATGCGTTTAAAACTTAACCGGATTTACTCGCCAATCGCAATAGAGGCGCTGCAGAGCTGTGAAGTGAAGGAGTGTTGCCTCGGACACGAATGAATGAAAACGTTCGAAAATGGTTTGAAACTAATTGTATGTATCATTTTGGCTTAAGGCAAGTTCCATGAACTTCCTGGTACGTATATATAATAAACTTAATCAATTTAGGTTATTTACATGTTTTATTTCATCTACTATGGGTTGTATGAATTTCATTTTATTTAAGTGTGGATGTCAACTCTAATCAGTAGCTACATACGAAATACGAAACTTTTTTTTTTATTATTATTTTAATAATTTTTACAACTGTCCTGAAACGGACAACAAGTAAAATATTTGACATGAAACTGAAGGCGTTGGCAAAATACAGATCATCTGACCATTGTCAGTGATTTGTCGAAGGTCTTTTCTATTGTTGATTAGTGCAGAAGAAATTTTCTTTTTAATCGGGCTCTGGTAGAGTTGTTCTGAAGTTTTCTCGCGAGCAAGTTCGGGTGATCAGCTAGGCGGTTTCTATATTTGTGCGAGTAAGCGATTATTTCATCCTTAACTGTGCTAGTGCCTGTGTCTTTGTGTATTAACCAATTTGGAACATACTTTGGTGCTTTCAAAATTTCTTTTAATAACATGTTTTGAAATCTTTGAATTATTAAAGCGTTTGAGTTGGAAGTTGATCCCCATAGCTGTATGCCGTATGTCCAAATTGGTTTGATGATGGCTTTATAAAGGTAAATTTTATTATGAGTGTCAAGTTTTGATTTTCGTCCAAGGTGCCAATGATATCTTCTTCTGGTTTCTTCAAGCTGCTTTCTCTTTTTCTTAATGTGTTCTTTCCAGAGGTTAGTCTCTTATCCAGGTGTAAACCTAGATATTTGACTGTATCTGTTTGTTCTATAATTTCGTCATTAAGTATTACTGCAGGACAAGTCCCTTTGCAAAGAGTGAAAGTGATGTGTTTTGACTTGCTGCTGTTAACTTCTATTCTCCACAAGCTTAACCATTTTTGTATCACGTCAAGATGATCCTGGAGCATTTTTGATGTGATTATGGGATCTTTATGTATTGCCATTATGCCTGTGTCATCTGCATATGTTGCTGTCAAAATGTCTTTTTTCTGTGGTAGGTCCGCAGTGTATATAAGGTATAATAGTGGCCCAATGACACTACCTTGAGGCACTCCCGATCTGACAGGATGTAATGAGGATGTTTCACCCCTTATACTAACAAAGAATGTTCTACCTTCCAGGTAGGACTTTATTATTAGGTATATATCAATCGGCAATGCATTTTTTATTTTGTAAAGTAGGCCGGGATGCCACACCTTATCAAATGCCTGACTAATATCGAGGAAAACAGCTGAACAGTAGTTCTTGTTTTGGTAAGCCTTGTTTATATTGTCGACAATTCTATGAATGAAATACGAAACTTGTGCACGAAAAGCATTTCTAAAGATATAGAAAATATCTGATTAGAGCTAAAAGGAAAATATAGGAAATAGAGGTACATAGGATACATATAAGTAAAAATGTAGAAAATTAAGCTACTAACAAATAAGGAAATACTGAAAAAAAACATGCATTCAGATAGAGCAGTAGAAATAATAAATCCTTTTTAAAAAAAAGTTAAAATTGATTTTGGCGACTTCTGGCATATGGTTCTTTGGTTCTTATCATTGCTTCCCTCTAATAAGCCTAATTTTTGAAATCTATGTTTCAAATGTCAAATTACTTGTCAATAATGGTCTAAGCATAGATAAAAATACATATGGGTATGAATCTGATAAGACTTCGTTTATATTTATGTGTAAAATAAATATATTCTTAAACAATATCTGATCAATACGCCAAAAACATATTTTACGAATCCACAACATGACATCACGTACCTTGACTGACGTCTTTATTCTTATGAGAAACAATGCAATGCAAAGCAAGAACATTTATTCTGAACAGGTATTATTAATTAATAACATGAGGATTCACACATATTTTCTAATACTGGTTATATGGTTATTCAGCATATATCAGATAACCAAAGTTTGATAAGACGTAAATCAAGAGACCCAGAACTCGGTTTAGAGCTTCGTGTAACAAGGCCACCACCAGAATGGCTTGATAAATTAGAAGAGGCTCAATACAGTATAACCAAGTGATTATGATAATAATTTTGTTTTTACTATTTCTTACTTAAATATTGTCATTTAAAAAATATGCAAAGTCTTATAAATATTTAATTTGATTAGAATTCGATCAAAACTGGATGAATTGCGCAACCTACATGGAATAGTTTTGCTTAGACCTGGTTTTGAAGATGACTGTCCAGAAGAAAGCAACATAGAGCTTTTGGCAATAGAAATCACTAGATTAATAAATGGTGTTCATAAATATGCTCAATATATTGGGGGGTGCAAGAATGAAGGTTCGAAATATTTAAATATCATTGCCATTTTGATTTATCAAATTGTTCTTTGTAAAAGAGAGATATATAGAAAACTTGCTATTCTTAAGTTTTATTATTTAATCAATTTGTAGTTTTCTATCCAAATATTTTATTTGCATTATTTAGCATGGATTTTATAATTAACATAAAACATTATTTTAATTGATTTTTACAGTAATAATCAATTATAATATGTAAGTTGACATTAAGTTTCAATTATGTTGCTTTCAAAATTAAAAACATATCTTTTTTTGAAGGTGTTAATAAGGAAAAAGATCTTACATCAAATGTTGTACTCTCCTTATGTACTATTTTACAAGATATAAGTATGGAGTTTCATGCTGAACAAAATAAATATTTAAATCATCTTCAGTCAAGAAATAAAAGGCATGAAAGTTTTTTTGAAACACCCGATTTCAGTAAAAGTGACAACACTTCGGATATGAAAGATTTATATTTTGATGAGAATCCTTCTGAACTGTGTAATGATAAAATCGATGAAGCTTTCGGCATTCCAATAAATAGTAGATTATCACAACAGCAGCTGATGTTGTTTGAAGAAGAAAATACTAAAATGGCAGAACAGAGAGAAAAAGAAGTAATAAACATAGTGCAATCTATCTCAGATTTAAATGTAATTTTCAAAGATTTAGCGCATATGATAAGGCATCAAGGAACAGTATTAGATAGAATAGATTACAATATAGAACAAACACAAATACAAGTATCAGAAGGCTATAAACAATTGATCAAAGCTGAAACATATCATAGAAGACATACGAAGATTTATTGTATTATGATACTAGCTAGTATAACAATTACAATGTTAATATTATTGATAATATTCAAATATTAATGTGGTTCATTTAACATGTATTTTTATTTATAATATGAATGCTTAAACATAATAATTTATAATATTGTAAAAATATTTGTGATCATAATATACTATTAAAAAGCAAATTACACATTTTAAAAATAAAATAAATATATTTTTACAATAGGTTAAAATTAAAAAGTAATAAAACAATTATTCGGAAATCCATCCCTGACTTAATATCCTGAACACATTTGGGACGTTCACCTAAAATTTTTTTTATTCATTCTCTATGCTTTTCATAATATTCGTCTAAATATTTCTTGTATTCCGCCTGGTCAGGCCACAACTCCGCAGCTTGAGAATTGAGCGGACTATCATTGTTAGGTTCACCTAACAATGATTGAATTGATATTAAAATGGTCCTGACATCATATAGAGCAGACCATTTTTCTTTTAAAATATCTAAGCAGATAGTGCCTCCAAGATCAACATTTGGATGAAAACAAGGAGTAACGAATTTGACAACAGGAGCAGAATAAGGGTACGAATTTGGAAATTCAAGTGACAGTTTGTATGTGTGATCGGAGTATACTGTGTCGGCGGGGCCTTTAATGGTTCCAATCCATTTAAACAAATTCTCGCCATCTGGAAATGCTGATATTCCTTTATCAGACGACATCATAAGCACCATCAATTCTTTCTGTAATCTGTTTCAAAACAATATTTTACTAGTGTTCATTAAAACTTGTCGCAATCACTTTACCTTTTGCTTACTGCATGACTATCCTTTAATTTAATGCTTTCCTCGCTGAATTTAACGGGAGCTGAAGAGTGAGATTGCACTGGATTAATATTCTGAGCCATATTTTGGACGAAAAACACTTGAAACCTCAATTTTATGGCGAGTTGTTTGTAAATTATAGTAAATGTCGATACAAAGTTTTGTCACAATGTCCAACCAACAAGAGAGAAAACAAATTCCTACTAGCGACATCTAGTAAAAATATTTTGATTTTGCAGGTTGTACATTTGTTTTCATGTCATTTAAATTTCTTTTACTGATTTTGGTATGATATGATATGATATAAAAAAACAAATACAAAATATATGATTTTTCACAATATTTGCAATAGAAAAAGGCGAAACTCATGTTAAATAATTGCTAAAATGCTTTAATAATACGGAACTTCCATTTCACATAGCTCTGTCGACATCTAGTTATAGCATTTTGAGTTTCGATTAATATGACAGTTTGACAGATTGCGGCAGTGGTTGCAGCCAAGACAATATGATTTTGTTCCGAATGCTATCTTATCTCCATCAAATTAAATAAATGACAGTGCATTAATAATAATCTTTACATAGTTAATTAATAATGTTTTATTACCGAAAATTTTAGTGAAATCTTTTGCGCATTCAAAGTGAAATCATAGAATCATTTAACATGGATTCTCTAAAGTTAGAGCCTTGTATAACATTGCCTTTAGATGATAAAACTCTTATAGAAATTATTGACAAAGCTAAAGATTGGGCTATAATGCATGGAGCTTCTATGAGATCTAAACTACAATTCTCTAAAGATACCATTCAGGTAAATTTATTTATTAATGTCGAAATATCACACAATTGCATTTATAATATAAAGATGTTATTTAAAATCAATCATCGAAATATATAAAGTGCACATAATGCATAAATTACTTGAGAGGCTACTGTATAGATTATATAATCAAATTCTCATTATTCTTTATTTCATTTTGTTTAGGTTAGGCCTTGCTTTAATATAAAATTCTTTCACAGATTATAAAACAATATTGTTATATATAATTATTAATTCACGTATGTGTGCATGGGATATGAGTGGGTTTTACTTCATATATTTTATCTCACAACATTCATTACAATGAGGCATAGTTTATACATTTGTGCATTCTCTGAATGCTCTTAATATAAACAATTTGGTATTTATGTTATGCATACACTCTGTATGGTGTATATATATATATATATATATATATATATATATATATATATATATATATATATATGTATTTATATTTAATACATCCATTCCTGTTTATATTATCATATAACCTTTTTATTTATTTTAGTTTGCTCCGTTTGTGCTAACACCTTCTACATTCCCGAGAGCTGAATTTGAAAAGGCAGTACAGCTTCAACCCATACTAAACGAACTTATACATCGGGCTGCACATGATCATGAATTTCTATCGCAATCTCTAGTTACTACTTTTGATGGAGATCCATTTACTGCCAGGCTTTTCCAACTTTATGAGGAAGTTAGAAGTGAGGGTGTAGCTCAGGTATTTATACCTTTAATCTTTTTGGTGAAAGGAATAATAATTACATGAAAGGAACAATAAGTGTTCCCCATTTATAATTTTGAGACTTCACCCAACCAAATAACATTTTTAAATAAAATTTTAAAACAAAATCAATGTTAAATTTTATAGTTTATTATCAAACGTAATTCATTTTTCACTAATGAATAATATATGTTTTATTACTGTGCCATAAAGAGATGAAGATTAGATCATTACAATTCCAGTTTTCATAGAAAAATTGTTTAATATAGGTGATGAGTATTAAAATTGTTTCAGAATATATTTTTAGGAATTACTAATTATAATTGATTTGAACTAGGAAAATTGAATTTCAAAAAAGGTTTAATGTATGAACCTCGATACTCTTATTCAATACTTTTGAAAAATCTTCAAGTAATTATCAGAAGCATCAGTGATTACAATGCAATTACTAGTAATTATTTCATTACTATTACTTTATGTAATTACTGCAAGTTACTGTTAAACTTTTTAATTCTAATAAATATGGTTACACATAAGGGTATAGTTTTTTAAGTAATCTTTTTAACTCGGAATGAATATCAAATTAATAAATACAAAACTTAAAATATTGGTGTCAAACTCAATTTATTTTCTAAAAAAAAGTTTCAATAGCATGCATATTTTGCCTATGAGACTCATCTAAATCCATAAGATATTGAATGACCTTTAGCGTATATCACTGGGCTTGCTCCGTTGTGATCTTATGCTGGAATCACTTTGCTGTGGAAAGTCTGAGACTTCACGTCCTTACTGCTGCTGGAAGCAAGTAGAGATCAACACTATTGCATCAGGTTTTGGTCATCTAGGGCCCGCCTCCGCAGTGTTGCAGAGGTGCGCTAATATCCAAAAGAATTTCCCATTTTACTTGAAGTTTTCTGATTAAAATAAAATATAACTAAAATTTGGGACAATTAATTAATTAAGGAAAAACAAACCAATTGTCTCAATATACTTATTATATTGAATTAATTTTTGCATTTTATGAAGAAACTGTAAAGGTCTTGTTTTTTTGTGATAAACGGTGTTGATCATAAAGCGTTGAAACTTTTGCTTAAATCCATAAAATTCATTTAGATAAAAACAGGTAATCTTTGTTATTACAGAATTTTCACTTGCTTTGAAAATTAAATTATGTTTAAATTAAAATATCACTTTAATAGATATTAATTGTAAAATGTTTTATTAATATTATACATCAACTCATGATTATTATTAATGATTGCTGTATATATTAATAATATCGGAAATTAAGAGTTTATTACAATCTTATATGAAGAAAATCAAATTTTAAAATTTAGTTTAAATGTCATTATGTTAACAAGCGCTTCTGACTAATTAATTAAAAAACCAAAGGTGAAGGTGGTCATACATGACTAATACTTGGCAATGTTACTTTTCTACCATCAGAATTCAAAATTTTATTAAAAGTGCGTTCATTTGCATGTACCTTAAATCTCTATTTTATTCGAAATGCAAATAATTTTTCATTCATTTAAGCATATTTTTATTTAACTTAGTAAACTTTTATTTGCTTTTTCTTGAACCTCAAATATGCAGCCTGATTTTCTTACAAAGATTTCGAGTTATTCATATTTTTACTAACAATATTTGGTCTGCACAAAATAAATGCATGAAGTACATTGCATCTTTCTTTAGTTTCATTTTACCATGGAATCGGTTTGGTCACATAGTTTAATTCTCACAAACAGGCACAACTTACATATTACTAATTCACAAACAAGAGTTTTAAATTATATTGTTTTATTCTATTTTGAATTTATTGCAGTTTTCACACATAAAATATGTTCAGTTATATTTAGTTTAGATACAAAAAAAATATGTACGTGCTTTTTTCTCATCAATATATTGTGATCGAATAGGAAAATATTAGGCATCGCTTTTGCTATTAATCTAATTTCAAAACAAGATTTGATTTTAGATAATAAAATAAACAAATAGATATATTTAAAAAACACCCTTTTGTGATAATAATAGTAGTTACTTATCATAATAGGTTAAAATTTTTCTTTGTATACACTATTTTATTACAGAAAGGGTATAAGCATTGCTATTCTTAATTTGACCCATTCTGGTATTTAAATAATTCATACGCAATTTCAAAGGTCTTTTTGAAAAGATGTCATTTCATAATTTTTCTTTTTTAAATTCACTTTCTGTCATAACTGTAAGAGATACAAAAACGCAGCTGTTATTGCATTCACGGTGGTTTGGACTATACTATTCATAGAAACTAATGTTGAAAAATTATTAGTGTAAATTATTTAATTTTCAGTGGAGTCGATTTTGTATAGCAATGCGACTATTCTCTTTATGAAACCTCATATTGCATGTTTTAATGATTTTTATTTATTACAGTTACAATTAATTGTTTTGATTTTTGCAGCATGTCCAAGCAGGTGTTCTTAATTAATTTAGTTATCATTATTATTATTCACAGGTGCAGCAGCAGTAAAAGTAAAAATCATTGATTTGATTATGCGTATATGCAGTTTATATAGAATTAGATAACGTAAACGTTAAGGCTTTACTATTAATAAACAAATAAAATTGTTCACCTTTTGATAGTTTTCCCAATACTTTACTTGGGATATTTATTTTATACTCCTAGTAACCAGTATTTCACCCTTCAAAAATACAATTTTGAACAACTAAGAAAAAAATACGGTTTATATATGTATATATATATATATATATATATATATATATGCATATATGCATGTCCAAATATATATATACATATTTGTTTATCACAAGCAACATGTATTTTACATTTTGAATGTTCAAATGTTTGCCATTAAACCTTACACATACATATACACACGTATGTTTATCTATGTACACAGTGTCCCAGAACTCAGCATCAAGCGGAAACGGGATGATAGTTCTGACCATAACTGTTCTAAAAAAAAATTAGAATTTTGGTGAAATTATGACCATTTGTCGGATATTGTGGTTATCTTTTTTTATTAATTTTGCTAATTTAAAGTTTGTATATGCAATCGTCCACACGCTCTTAGGTCCACATTGGAAAATAATGACACAAATCCTTAGATTTTTTTTAAAGAATTATGACTTTGGTGAACTAAGAATTTAATTTTTTTTAAATCGGTCGACTTTGTTTCATCAAAAGTTGGCGCATTCAATCAGGATTGTAAAACGGTAAAATACTTAATAGTTCTATAATAAAAAAAATCGGGTAAACAAATTAAAACCTCAAAAGCTTTTCAAATCTGCAGATTGCACTTAAAAGTTTAAAATTTTCAAACATGAGATTTTTTTACAGGCCATCAGTTTCGGTCAATACTAGCACCCTGTTTCGGATTGACGTTGAGTTCTGGGACACCATATATGTGAAAGACAATGAAATATAAATTTAAAATTGAACATTGATAAAACATAGTTTTTAAGTTTTAAAGAGGGAAACTAGAAAATATTTAAAATTAGGTCGTTCTTCTAAAATCAAAATGAAAATTATTATTGTTAAGATTATTTGTAACTTTACGATAGAAGAATATTTTACAGACAATTAACCTGGGCTTGATTCGTTCGGACTATTTACCCCTGTTCAGCGCTGGCAATAATATAAAGCAAGTGGAAATAAATACAATCGCTTCTAGTTTTGCCGGAATATCGACCAGCGTCTGCTTATTGCATAGGTACATATTGTTCTTTGCTGACATCAGACGTTTTTGTAATAATTACTACACTATATTTACACTATACAAATACACGCACTTATATTTGCATGTCGGTACATAAGTTTATTAAAATTAAAATGTCGTAGTACCAAATCGTTATTGTAACTAACAGCAAGCACCATACTTTCCACATTTTGCACATCACATTTTTAAAACCACAAAAAGCATACATTGGTTTATATTCATTACAGGGCTCGGAATCTATGTCCGGTGTATTATCAATTTGTCCATGTCTGATTCATTGGAAATATTTTTCAAGCATTTAGGACCAGCTATGTCGAATGGGTTATAAATTTTAAATTTGCAAAAGTGGTTGAAAAGGGGTTTTTCAATATGTTCATTTTATCAATTTAATGTATGGATTATTTGATAATATTTTAAAAGGCCTTATTTTTTGTTCAGCAGGGACACGCTGCACAGGTTTCCGAGACCTAATTTTTAATATCTATTATATAAAGTTTATAATAATTAATGTGTTTATTAAACTGGTTGTGACCAACCGATATATAACTAGGCACAAAATGAAAATGTTTTAATTTATTGTCTCAAAATTGTTTTTACGTTAATGTAAATTGGCAATGTCTTCAGCGCATGGCTTGTAAAATGTAATCTTTCTTTTCTTATCTTTTCTATGACTTTTATTTAATTATTCGTGATCGTGATCTTCCGTTTAACATATGTTCTTCTATGTATGTTTATGTTTTATGTAATATTTTATATTAATTTAAATTTACGAAAATTGTGATAAAATGCTAACCCTATTTGTATTTCATTACAATCTTGGTTATAGATATGTGCTCGAGGAACTTGGACATGGAGATAAAACAAAGAATGTAATTATCTTGATATATCTATATTATTTAAATAATAATTTATTAATATAGATTTTATTTGAATAGCTTCCTGCGAATCATGCTTTATCAGGTTTGTGTAATGCAATGCTTGAAGCTTGGAAAATAGCTGAAGATGAAAATGCTGCTATTTTGTTCATTGTTGAAGATGTATCTTACAATATATGTGATCAAAGGTAAATTAGTATTCTCTTACTATTTCTGCTATTCTATCAATATTTAATCAATTTATAATTATCTTAAATTCCTCTCGTTAATTTTAATTTTTTTTATAAAATATCTTCAGGTTTCACGAATTTGAAATAAGAAGATTGAATCCAAATGTAAGAGTCATTAGGAAAACTCTCACAGAAGTTTACAATGAAGGAAAATTGGGAAGCAATAAAGAATTACTAATGTAAGATGAAAAAATCGCACATAGCTTTGTGTTTTTACAATTTTAATATGTTTTTTTTACAATTTTAGTGGTAGTACAAGAGTTAGTGTTGTTTATTTCCGCGCTGGATATGAGCCAGCTCATTATCCAACCGAAAATGAATGGTCTGCACGAAGTATGATTGAAAAATCTAGAGCTATTAAGTGTCCATCCGTTCAATATCACTTAGCTGGTACTAAGAAAGTGCAGCAATCTCTGGCAAAACCTGGCATTCTAGATAGATTTTTAAATGATCCTAATAAGGTAATAATAATTATTGTTTTGAATATTAAGAAATGTTGTAGCGTGTATTTAAATCTATTACAGGTAAAAGCTGTGAGTGAGATTTTTACTGGTCTGTACTCTTTAGATCTGGATAAATTTGGAGATGAAGCATATAAAATGGCATTAGCTGAACCTGAACGGTAATTTGTAATAATAACTTAGGCAGTTTTGGTACATTTTTATCTTGAAAATTTCTCTAATACTTTTAGCATTACCGAATTATTTATTTGAATTATATTTCATTTGATTTGATATACATATATTCCAATGATGATATATAGAATTTTGCAAATCGGTAAATTATTAACAAATTGATTGAAATAGTATTGTTCATTCTTATTATCAATCACAGAATATATAGTCGGGAGATAAATATATTTATTTAATTATATTGTTAATGTCATTTCTTAATTTTGTTTATATTATTTCCAGATTTGTATTAAAACCTCAAAGAGAGGGTGGAGGTAACAATATTTATGGATCTAAAATAAGAGATGCTCTCATGAACATGGGAAAAACTCCAGAACGAGCAGCTTGGATTCTCATGGAACGAATCACGCCCCCATTATCCGAAGGTTATATTATACGACCTGGTGATCGTGTCCCTCCGCCCCTTGTTAGTCTAATTAGTGAACTTGGTATTTTTGGAGCAATCTTAGGGTGATTATTAATTTATTCACTATTTTACATAGTACTATTTCGTAGATTATTAATAACATAACTAGTTTTCATTTATATAGAATAATTTGGCCATTTGTTAACCTTTTTGATAATTTGCGGACAAAAAATCAAAACTATTTAAAGTGCTCTATTTAATACTGATTTATATTAAAATTTCAGAGATTCGGAAAATATTATTTATAACAAACAAGTAGGCCATATGTTACGTACTAAATTATCTACTGCAGATGAGGGTGGTGTGGCTGCTGGTTTGGGCGCACTCGACAGCCCTTATCTTATAGATATCTGATACATAATATAGATAATAAATGATATTTTTGCGGCATTTATTGTGGTAATAATGTTTCCAAGGTCACTTATTGTAATTTTATCATTGTTAAAATTTTATAAATGTATACTTTTTAAAGAAAATAAACATATATTTATGTATATTAATACGTTCGTTAATCCTTTAAACATAGTCGAAATATAGAAGTAGTTGTGAGCACTTGAATATTCATTTATTTAATAAACAAAATTTACTAATACATCTATTATTAATGGTGAAACAATATATTCAGATTAAAGATTGCGTAATTTCTGTAGAAGATGCATTAACAGATATCTCCTCTGTTCTTCTGAAGGAAGCTTCGTTATTTTTAAGAATTTGCTGGGGTCTAACTCAGCCAATTCGTTTTGATACAATTCAAGGGCATCTATATGAAAATAAATAAAAGAATACATGTTTAATTAAAAATATTAACATTTTTTACGAAATTGTGATTCAAAAATAAGTAATGATTCTAGTAGTTTTTTGACTACCAACGTTGAAGTCGGATTTTGTAATCGAAATTTAACGAAACCGTTTGATTTTTGTGTTTATAGAAAAATAAAAAGCTCGCTAAGATGATACCCGAAAAACATATCCGAAAGACATATATTTAAAAAAAAAACAATCTGGATGTGATCTGGATAAATTGCATATACATCACTATATATAGAGTGGTGAGGTTGAAATTAAAACAAGTGGGGCGCATGGCATCGTACCTTAAGGCAAATTGCTGGAACTTCCCGTACCATTTTTTTTTTTAAAAAAGATTAACATTTTTGAAAAAAAATTACCCTGGAAAAAATATATTTTTAAGAAACTATAAATTTTTGACAAAATTTTACTTTTTTTGAAAAAAAAAATTAGACTTTTTGAAGAAAAATTTATTTTGAAATATTTTGGAAATTCTGAACTTTTTTTCAAAGCAATCGTACTGCTTGAACTGCACAGAGACGAAATATCGAAGCGTCGCCGTCTAACGGATAAACATTGGTACGGAACCCATAAGAATGTAAACAAAATTTATACTTATTGTTAAAATATCTATAAAATATCTGATAATTTGATGTGCATATGTCTAATGATCATTTTTGACCGCCAAATGGCATTTTTTTTTACTTGTTTTACTAGATCTCCAAAACCGCTAGCCCTGTCTTCATGAAAATTTGATCAGTTCTTCATCTTGTTAATACAAGTAAAATGTTTTTTGAATTATTCAAATCGGACGCTCCGTTCTCTTAAAAACTGAGTGATCGTTTTTGGCACTTTTTTGCCCCATATCTTCGGAACGGCTAGACCTGCCTTCGCCAAAAACTAATCAACACGTCTCATCAATACGAATCGAATGTTTTTTGAATTGTTCAAATTGCTTCATCCGTGCTCCCGAAATCGTCGACGAAAATTTGTATACGCACACACACATACACGTACATACACACACACATACATAAATTTTGTTTAAGGTATGCCAAAATGTTCAGAAACCATTGAAACGTAAAGATATATAAACATTTTCATTTTCGATTTTTTTGCGATTACTATAACTTGCCCTACGGGAAGTCAATAAATCTCCACTTAATATTCTTTTGATATAAGACAATTTATCGCAATCTTTCTTTGAAAAAACTGTAATGTAGATTTTTTTTACTGATTCTTACATTCCAAGGTATATACTTGTCTCGGAGCTGTTTCTCCACGCAATTCTGAGGCGATGGCGGCTGCAATTAAACTAGCATTATCCGCATGAGACCCTCCAGCTCGTATATGATCGGTTGTGGAGACATTTGCCTCATTTTTAAACTTGCTGTTTTTAAAATCAAATTCCCCACCGTCCATTTTTTTCCAATCTTTCGGCTTAGTTCCATTCGCTACTGCTAAATAAGCGCAAGCTCCGCCTTCTGGAAACTCTTTCGTTGCTAAGTAGGTCCTTCCTGCAATACCAGGAATGGTCGTAGGAGTGTCGTCTGGATGTATAGCTTGTATCCAACATGGTTCCTGGTACCAAATTTTAGTCAGCGATTTATAAAAAATATTAATTGGTAGATTTGTCGAATTGACATAATTATACCTCAATTGTTTCCTTCTTAGCAAAAACATCTTCCAGATCTCCTGTTGGTGGAGGATTTCGAAAGACTCCTTTTAATTTTGCTGCTTGCATACAAAGTATCAATTTACTTAAATATGTGTTGCGAACTCGCTTTTTCTCGATTCCTACAACATGATCGCCACACAATTTTTCTAGCCATGCCTGAAAAAAGAAAATTTAAGCATTATGTAAATGTAATTCGTGTAAAGTAAAATTTGTGTAAAGTAAAATTACATTGCATCGTTCTGCATGCTCGACAGTTTCAAGCCGATGGGCAAAGCTCTGTGTTAAGCCCAGTAAAAATAAAAAATCTTCATCTAATTTATCTAAATTTTCTGCCATTTTTTTTAAATTATACAATGTTAATTTAAACCGATTTTTTTTTCGCTTCTAAATTTTGTAAATAATAAACAATGACATTTTTTAAACGTTGATTTAACCTGAAATTTTGTTTTCACTCTCAATTTTATAAATGTAAACAATGGCACACTGTTCCGTTAGTTTAAACTGAAATTTTGTTTTCACTTCTCGATTTACTATTTATTTTTATGCATATACATTTTGTATTTTGTTTATTATTAACTTCCCGTAGGGTAAGTTATTGTAATGGGCCGAAAATCGAAATTCAAAATTTTTACATTTTTCGACCTTTTGAAGGTTTCTGAACGTTTTGGCATACCTCAGAAAAAATGGATGTGTGTGTGTATGTATGTATGGATACAAATTTCCAATCACGTTTTCGGGCGCACGGATCAACCGATTTGAATGGTTAAAAAAACATTCGATTCCCATTGATAGGGAAAAGAGCTGATTAGTTTTTGGCGAAGGCAGGTCCAGCCGTTTCGGAGATACGGAGCAAAGAGTTTTGGAAAAAAAATTGTATTTTTTTGTATATCGAAAATAATTCAGATTTTATTTTTATTCTGACTAAAGTTCTAATATAACTTAAACAAATAATTTTAAATTTGCAATTCAGTTTTGATAATTCTTATAAATATTAGACAATGTTACAATATTTATAATAATCTATTTGAAAACATTCAGTATTCCTCGAACATTTCGTTACGGTACGGGAAGTTCCAGCAAATTGCCTTAAGGCACGATGCCATACACAACTAGTTATAATTTCATGTTACTAGATCTACTAAAATTATACAGGGCTCCATATATTCTGCCAACGTAGATTCGAATTATTTAGAAGGGAGATTTTCAATCTTATTTATCATCAGTTTGTATCTAAATAATACAAATATATACAATAACTCTAATGTGGACATTATCGCTTATTGGCTGAAATTACGTCTATAAATATATACAGATTTTTTTTTTTAAAATAAATTCAAAATCAAATTGAACAACGGTGAAAAATATGCATGCATGTAAAAAATTATCGTTTGTTTAAACAATTAAAATAATAGCACATAATTTATCGCAATTTAGTAGTAAATAGAAATTATTCCAAATAGATTATAATTATACGGTCTTAAAAAGGCCGACAGTCTTCTTTACAACATTCAAAACAATTTTGAATTTTCGAATATCTTCGTCTAATTTGATTCCTAGTTGCAAAACTTTCTTCAGTTCTTGTTTTCGAATGTTGGCTGCCTGCAATAGATTTGGGTGACGAGTTACGCTGTCTATGAGCGACCAAGTAAAGCAGACTGTTTAATATATAATACACCGATTGTATTTTAAAAAACTTGAAAGTTTGGAGTTATTTAGTTGATATTTGACGTAGTGTAAGTGCTCCTATTTTGAAACGTGTTCAAGCGAAGTAAATAATGTTAGCATAATAAATATGTTGTCAGATTTCTTTTACCTTCTATGAGAGTATTTGAGCGCAAGAATTAAGAAAGACATTTACTTATTACAAACCACCTGCAATGTTTGTGATTTAAATTTAGTGTAAACATAACCTGGTGCAAATTATAAATATAATCAATGTTTCACTATCTGTTGATAATTTCTGACATGACATCTATAAATATTTTCTTTATAAATATTTATTATAATTTTAATATATATAGTATATTTTAATATATAGGCAATGGCTGATATTGAGTATCCTAACGGCTGCAGGCCAGTATCAGAAAACCTAGGAGCTGATGAATTAATTAGGAGGCTGAAGGTTTGTGCAATTTGTATTATCATTGCATACATTTTTATGATAATTTTTGAAATTCAAAGAATTCTGCAGAAGAAAATGAAATGTAATAAGTTAAAAAAATAACTACACAAGAAATCAGTTGTTTAGAAATATTTAAAATTACTAGATAATAATTGTAAGTGACTAAATGCTTCAAGATGTAGTAAAGTAACTACTGTTATATAAACTACTTTTTGCCAAAATTTTAATTTTCTGTCATTTATTAGACAATAAGTTTACAACTATCTGAAAAGGACAACAAAAATTTTATGATTACAACAAAAAGGCATTAAAAGGCAACAGTCTTATAGAATGAAGATAATGTAGAACGAATTTTTTTTTAGTCTATCACAAAGCTAAACATCAAAAAAATCCAAATGTATAACTTTTTGTAAGTGACTAAATGCTCAAGATGTAGTTACTTTAACTGTTATATAAACTACTTTTTGCCAAAATTTTAATTTTCTGTTATTTATTAGACAATAAGTTTACAACTATCTGAAAAGGACAACAAAAATTTTATGAAACAACAAAAAGGCATTAAAAGACAACAGTCTTATAGAATGAAGATAATGTAGAACGATTTTTTTTTAGTCTATCACAAAGCTAAACAGTCAAAAAAATCCAAATGTATAACTCTCTCCATTTGATTCAACATTTTCTTTTGTCTAAATAAAATTCTTCGTATTTATATATTACCTTGAAATACTTGATATGTATAAAATTGAGACATGGAATCAACCTATTAAAAGATCTGTATTTTTTTTTGTATTAAAATTCATTATTATGTATTAAAAGAAACATTAATTAATATTTAATGCTGAAAAGAATATCAATTTTATAAAAATAATATAATATTAAAGTTTATTTCATTAATCTAGCTATAATATTTACAAATTTTTCTTGTATTTTTTTTAACAGACTCTGGCTCATACGCTGCAGGCTATGAGTCAAGATGAAGGAAAGTACCAACAGTATATTCCTTTGGCCTTATATTTGGTAGAGGAACATTTTCTAAACTATCCTTCTCGCGATGTTCAGCTTTTAATAGCATGCTGCATAGCTGATGTCTTGAGAGTGTTTGCTCCAGATGCTCCTTATAAAGATCCAGAACAAGTCAAGGTTCATTAATGATATATATATAATATATATATATATATATATATATATATACTTTTTGCATAATGTAGTACTTTATTTCAATAATATTGTATAAACAATATTTCTTTATTAATTAATTCCAATTGGATATATATTTAATTTTATACAGTAACTTAATATATTGCAAAGTAAATGATATTGTAATCTAATGCTATTTAATATATCTTTCTTATAATACTATTTCATAGACAGAAAGCATGTATGATATTGAAAATATTGAACAAAGAATTTTTTTGTATTTACAGACAATATTTGTATTCCTGATCAAACAATTATCTGGACTTAAGGATCCTAAAGATCCTGCATTCAAGAGATATTTTTATTTACTTGAGAATTTAGCTTATGTTAAATCTTTTAACATGTGTTTTGAACTAGAAGATTGTCAAGAAATATTTTGTGCCCTTTTTACTTTAATGTTCAAAATTGTTAAGTAAGTGCAAATGAAATAATTGTATTTGTTTTTAAATAGACTTTATTTGATTTTTAATCCAAAATACATTTTAGCGATGAGCATTCAAGTAAAGTCAAGTCATTTATGTTGGATGTTTTATGCCCCTTAATCAAGGAATCAGATGTTGTTTCTAATGAACTTTTAGACATAATACTTATTAATATAGTGGATCCATACAAAACACAGCGCAAAAATGCATATTTATTGGCAAAAGAATTAGTTGTTCAAACAAGTAAAAATCTGGAGCCTTATATTCACGCTGTAAGTAAAATGATGATCTTGTATGCCTCTTATTTTATTATTAATTTTTTTTCCTATATAATGCTAATTTGTTTTTGTATTTTAGTTTTTCAACCAACAGTTAATTCTTGATAAAGAAGAGCGTGAGCTGAATATATGTTCTAAAGTTTATGAATTAATTTATGAGCTCAACCACATTTGTCCAACAGTACTGATCACTGTCCTACCACAATTGGAATGTAAATTAAAATCAGCACAAGAGACTGAAAGATTACGTGATTTTACTATTTAAAGAGTAAATTTGATGCAAAAACTAACAAATGCTTTTGTTTATAGGCGCAGTTGCTTTGCTTGCTACAATGTTTTCAGAAAAGGACTCAACGTTAGCTTCTCAGCATCCAGTAAGTTAGATAAAATTAATGAATATATGAATTAAAATTTCTATATTCAATAGAAATGCTTAAATATTCAATATTTGAGTATTATTTAAATTTATAATCTTTTTTATATTTAACACCATTATAATTGTTTAAAGGCATTATGGAGAGCTTTTCTGGGGCGTTTCAATGATATTGCAATAGCAATTCGCATTAAATGTGTCCAGTATTCAATGCACTTTCTTTTGAATCATCCAGACCTGCGAAAAGATATAACTGAAACTTTAAAATTAAGACAGCATGATGCAGATGAAACAGTACGGTAAGTTTTCTTGGTCTTGCTTTTTTTTTACATAGTTCTGCAGTTATCAGAAGTTAATTATTTTTATAGGTATGAGGTTGTGATGGCAATTGTAACTACAGCTCGCAAAGATTTTGAGGTAGTATCAGATTCAGAGGACTTATTGGAATTTGTTAAAGAAAGAACATTAGATAAAAAGGTAATATTTTATAATTGTTTGATCAGCCAGCATATTAATTGCAAGAGATTATAACATAAATATGTTATATATTGACTTTATACAATTTTTGCTGAACTATATTAAACATTCAATTCATTTTAGTTTAAAATTCGAAAAGAAGCTATGACTGGTTTGGCGATGATTTACAAAAAACATTTGAATGATGCTGATGTACCTCAAGCAACTAAAAAAGCTGTCACATGGATAAAAGATAAAATATTGCACGGTAATTTTATCATATAAATTTATTTCTTCACAAAATGATATAATGTTCTTAATTCAAATTATATTATTGCATTTAGGATATTATATGACTGGAATGGAAGATAGACTTTTAGTTGAGCGATTATTGAATACTTGTTTAGTTCCTTACCAACTCTCTGCTGAGGAACGAATGAAGAAATTATATCATTTATTGGGCACCATTGATGATCATGCATCCAAAGCTTTTGTTGAATTACAGAAACATCAGTTGGCGTATGTACAAAAATAATTAAATTCTTTAAAATCATATGTAATTCCTTACAGTACAAACTATGTGTTCCAGTTTATTATTTTTATAGTATTTTTTTACTACGGGTTATATTTTATTATATATATTTATAAGAAAGTTTTTGTATAAAGAGTATATTTCATAGAAATGTGAAGTGATTTTCCTAATTTATATTGAGTAAATAATTATTTATTTTAGTGTAAGAAGAGCTGTCACAGAATGGATAGAACTACATAAAAAACCATTAACTCCAATTACTGCTAAAGAGCTAGCTGCTAAAATTCATACATTATCTAGATTTCTTCCTGAACCCGTTAAAGCACATGAGTTCTTGACTCAATTTTCTCATAATCTTCGTAAAGACACTGCTTTGATGCAGGGTATGGAAATTATATTAAAACCAGATGTCACATGTAAAGAGTGTACTGAAACATTAGCAATAATTTTGAAAAAACTTGGACAACCCATTATGACAAATCTATATTATAATACTGTGAAAATGTTGCTTGAAAGAGTTAGTTCTGTAATGGTTGATGCTGCTTCTATTGCTGTATTGGTTGGATATGTCGATGATTGTTTGCGTGGAGGGAACACAATTGATGAAGTTGGTTTATCACCTAACAGTGCTGGGGAACGAGGGTTGAGATTGTTGGTGGTAAGCTATAGTTTTATTAGTATCTCATTATCTCCTGTACTATTTAACTGTAAGAATAATTTGCATGTCTTAATAATGTTTGTCATTTTCCAGATGTTATCTTTTGTTTTTCCTTGCCATTTTAACAATTTAATTGTGTTGAAGCCGATGTTACAATTGTTACAACATGATGATGAGATGGTTGCTCCACTTGCACTATCAGTATTTACATTTGTTGGGAAGTACAAACCATTGGGTATGTTCTTGCACAAGTTTTTATAACAATAAAAACCAGAATACTAAAATCATTTTTATTATTTTTAAAGGTGAAACATATCCAGAGATATTGTTGGAACTTGCTCCACTCTGTAAACAATATGCTGAAGTGGGTACTCCTAAACAAGCAAAACAAGCCATCAGGTTAATTTATTTCTTAAATTATTATAACGTAATAATTGTTTTTTTTTTGTTATTTGTTATTTATTATTTGTTGTGTTTCAGGTGCATGTATGTAAATAAGACAGAAAAGCCAATTGAATATTTTACAGAAATATTGGAAGTTATAAAAAATTCATTAGTTCCTGGACATCCTAATTACAGAACTGCTATTGTTTCTTTAGGACATATTGCATATAATTTACCACAAAAGTTTCCTATTGTTATAAAAAATATAGTTTCTAGAAAGGTGATGTTTGTAAAATTAATGTTATGCAATTTAAATTAGATTTTCACCTAATTATGGTTTTTTTTATAGATTGTTAAAGAATTACTTGTAAAAGAAGCTAGTGACAATCGAGATATACCTGAAGGAGAATGGTGCTCTGAAGAAGAACTGCCAGAAGAAACTAGATGTAAAATTGAAGGCTTAAAAACAATGGCTAGATGGCTTCTCGGTAACTGTTAAATTATATTCAACTATTAACAACAGTTGACTACACCATTTTTGACAAAAATAATTTACTTTTAATTAATTTACAATTATGTATACATATTCTCATCAGAAATTCACTAAAAGAATGAAATTTATTGCTTTAATCTTTCCTAAAATCATCATTTATCTGAGTTTTTAAAAGTGTTTTTAAATTAATTTATTATACTAATTTTTAACTTTCTATCTATTATAACCAAAACAAATATTGAGAACCATTTGAAGTATTTGTATTCACAGTGTTCTGAACTATATCATTTACAGAAACTAATTTTAAATAAGTTAGTTTTTGTATTTTTTTGGCAATATGATTGTTTAAAAATATTTTGAATTAGCTTATTTTTCTATATCTTATTCATATATTTGCAATTGAATTTTTTTATGAAGGTTTGAAACAAGATGAGTTATCGGCCCAAAAAACATTTAGAATGCTGAATGCTTTTATAATTCACAAAGGAGATTTGTTGCAACAAGGAAATTTATCGGATGCCGAAATGTCTTGGTTAAGATTATCTGCTGGCACTGCTATGTTGAAAATTTGTGAACAGAAGGGAGTTGGTGATCAGTTCACTGCAGAACAGTTTTATAATTTGTCACAACTTATGGTTGTAAGTTTCAATCTTATTTTCATTTATTAACATGATAAAAATCTTTAGTTTTTGCACAAACATTTTTTGATAAATTGTGAAATTCAATATATATATATATATATATATATATATAATATATATATGTGTGTGTGTGTGTCTGATTTCTTTGAAAAAAATCTTAATATGTTTACAATTTAGTTTAAAGCTTGTAAAAATACTTCTAGGATCCCGTGGCAAAAGTTCGAGAAATTTTTGCTGGTAAATTACATAAAGGTTTGGGCCGTGGAATACCAAATAAATGCCTTCCATTAGATTTTATGGGATTCTATGCTTTGAGTGGCTATGAAACTGATCGTAGATTAGCTAATTCGTTAAGAGTTTATACGGAAACAGATGTTGTGAGAAGGCGAGAATATGTTAAAACTATAACGAATGGCACACAAGGTATGTGGACAATGACTGGTGTTATAATTATATTTGTGATGTAAATATATATTGTAATTAATAATAAAAATTCTAGTGGAAAAAGCCATGACTCAATTAACTCATATTTTACCTGATTATATGCTGGTATTTGCTATTCCTGTGCTAGCACATGACCCCAGATTTACTAGATATGATGAAGTGCATCAATTGAAAACTATTGAACGTTGTCTTTGGAATATTTTGGAACCTTTAGTATCACAAAAAGAGTTTTACTCTTTTGGATTCTACAAAAATCTGATTGAGAGAATGAAAAATCACAAAGATGCACTTAATAGTAATGATGATTCTATGAATTATGTAAGTATTGACCTTTATTCTCATTCAATACTTTGCTAAAAAAAGTTTTATAAGCACATTTGGAAAATGTGGATTAATATTGATAATTCATTGCAAAAGAATTCGTTCGCAATACTAAATTTGCAGTTATAAATCAAAAAATATATTGACCAATCTAGAGTTTAAATATGTAATAATTTTTATATAATTTTTTATAATTTTTTTTTTTGCCTTTATAATGATAGTATATTTATTTTTTTTATTCAACACCTATAGAAATACACGATGTGCATAAATAAACTAAAGATAACAAATAAGAAAAATCACTGTTTTTGAAATATATATACAACATTTAATAAGAACAAACAATATACCACTTTTAATAGATTTTCATGTATTATTATATTCTTATTATTATTATGTAAAATTTTTCTAGAAATTATGGGCTATATGTGATTTAGCTATGGGCTTAATACTATCAAAGACTTCAAATTATGATCTCAAAGAATATCCATCAGAAACAAGGATACCTTCGATGTATTTCCAACCACAGCCTGACAACTTTGTTAATACAAAAATATACATTCCTCCTGAAGTGCAGGTATGCAATATTATTTTATTTATTTTTATTCTTTGTTTTTTTATTCAATTTCAAAAATTGAGAAACTCTTATATTTTTACATATTTATATTAAATTATATTTAATTGCTCTAATCTTTTTTCAGGTCCAAACAATAAAGAAGGCAGTAACCTTATCTATAGTACCTGAAAATAAAGGAATAAAGAGAAAAGCGAAAAGAATTCTAGTAGGAGTCGGTCCACAAGGAACTGATGTAGAGGTATGATTTTAATGTTTACTTATCTGTTACATTTTTATGAATATATTCTTTTTGCAAGCAGCTATTTAGAGGATGTATAGATGCTCAGGTATAAAAATATTTTTGCTGTAAATAATTTTAATTTTTTTTTTTCAATACAAAAAAGATTATTCAATTTTTACATTATAATAAAGTATTAGATAATTCAATAAAAATTAGATAATACTCTATAATTTACCAGTTGTGATTAATTTTCAGCCTAGTGAGGCATCAGAAACAAAAATCCAATTGCCAGGCTTAGATGATGATATTTCTTCAAATGAGCCTGTTGCAAAGCGAGCGTTGAGAGCAAGCTAACAGAAATATTTTAAAAATTGATGTGAAACCAAACTTATTTACATTGTATGGATGCTTAAAATCGAATGATAGATTATTTAATGACAACTGATTGTGATTCGTATTTTTATGCTTTGTTAATTTTAATTCAGTACAATATATTAAGGAAAGCCTGAAATATAAAACTTAATGCGTATATGCATCTAACTTAATCATAGATAGTGAAAAGCAAGAAATTTTTATATCTGAAAAGTTGATTGCGAGGATATCAGAACTGAATGTTGTGGGTTTTACTTTATCATTTTTGTTTATTAAATCTAGGAAATATATTTGATAAATAAATTTTCTGTATCTGTTGTACATAATTAATGCAAACTATACAGTTTATTTTGTATGCAGGATTTGGTTATTTATATAAGATTACCTACAAAATTTAAGTACCTATTTATTTATAATCCATTTTTAATTTTAAATTGTAAATATCATTATAAATATAAGGACACGATTAGAAAAAATCAAACATTCATTGTTTACTTAATCATAGTTCGTTTTGAATTTACAATAAATTGCACAAGTTTTTACAGAGAAATATTAGTTTCTTTTGCAAAACGCCTCATGACCTTAGCAATTTGTTCCGCTTGGGCATTGTGTGAATTTCTAAGCAAGCCCAATACTCCACTAAGTTGTTCTAATGATGCTCTATCATCATGGGCAGCTATCAATTGAAGAACCCCAACACATGCTCCTCTTTTACCTTCCCAATATTCTGGATTAGGGTCTAACCTGAATTGAATGCACGATAAAATGATTTAGAAAAAAAATATATCATCCACCTTTATTCAATATTTTTATAATGATCCATACACAATAATTCAAAACTAAAATACCTGTCGAGTAAATCAAATGCTTTAGCTGAATGCCAGAAATGTCCCATACGATAACAATCATTTGCTATTAATTGTAGGACTGTAAAACTTTCAGGACCAGTCTTCATAGTAATATACAATTCCCAGGCCTTTTCAGGTTGAGATGTCCTAATGTAACAACGGCAAAGACAACATATAAAAGTGTATTCAGAATGTATTTCGGGGCTTGTAATTTCATTGAATTTTTCTATTGCTTCTTTATAATAGCCAGTTGCAGTTTTTGCCTGCAAATAACCGCACACACAATTTTAGTATAATTATTACGTAATAAATTTATTTATTTGGAAGTAGTGTAATTGCTTGTAAACACTCCAACCTCTTTACATATATCCTTGACTTTTTAAAATGTATACTTCAGTCAAATAATAAAAAGGTCTAAACTCAGTGGTGTTGTGCTATTTTTTTTTTTTTTGCCGGAACGCTAAAATTAACAAACCAGTTCAAAAAACGGTTTTTAGGTTTGTTCTGGTTCCGTTCGAAAAGGAAAGAAACAAAAATCATTACAAAACCCACTTTGTACACAAATATGTATAACAATAATAGGAACGTTTAATAAAAATTAGTTAAATTATAATTTATAAAATTCACTTTGAATTTTTTTTTTGCCGGAACGCGTTCCGGCCCAAAAATGATTTGCCGGAACGACGTTCCGGCGCGTTCCGGCTCGACAACTCCACTGTCTAAACTAGTAAGTAGTAACCTTTGTCAATCATACAAACCTGAGCATAGTTATAATTGAATGTATCGTCATTAATATAGTGGCTCTTAATAGAATTTAGATAAACAAGTACTTCTTCAAATTGGCCATAAAGAAAAAATACTGATGCCATGCTCTCTCTGCCTGGTACAGTGTTGCATTCAGATGCCGAATCTCCTACAAGTTGTAGACATTGAATACCAGCTTGAATGTGGTCTTTCTAAAATTGTACAAATCTTTTATTGTACATCAAAATTATATTTAAAGAGTTAATTAATTATTTCAAAGTTTGACATTATAATGTGTTTAAGAGCGCAAAACAATAAAAACTTGCCGATCCTTGCATTTGTCCAAGTTCGACGTTAACCAGCCCCTTCAATATATATTCTTGAGGAATTGTAGGTTCTAAATCCCTAATCAAAGCATGAGCTTGCAAAATTTCTCCACTTTTTAAGTACTGAATTACTAAATTTAGTCGTGCTTCGGGTATGATGTCCACAAGACCAGGAAGAACCTTAAAACAAGTTTAAATTTAAAAACAATTTTAACGGAATGGTATATGTAATGTATTTACTGACTTGCATTGAACCTTCTCCATTTCTCACTACGACAAGATTGTGTTTGATAAGATCTGATCCAAAAACACACTTTTCTGATAAGGCCATTAATTCATTTTCAGCAGCTTTAAAGTTGTCCAGTCGATAAAAATTACAAGCTCTTAAATTATTTCCAATTACTGAATCAGGATATGCAGTCAAATATACATTCAGAACTTCTTGAGAAATATCAAAATAATCCAGTTTATAGTAGCATAAAGCTATATAGACTTTTAACGCCAATAAATCCCTAATAAGAATAATTAAATTACTTAGATTCAATTTGTCGAAATTAAGACCAATTACCATTCATAATCAAAATAAATTTGATCATAATCATAAATACTATTTAAAACGGCCTGATTAGAGGTAGCTAAATTAATGAGGAAAAATATATAAAAAATTATTCCAATAGTAATCAATTTTAACAATCAGAACTGCAGTTGATTAGACCATTTTTTTGGAAATTTGATTTGCGTGTCTTACGGAAATTATAATGTTAATTAAGGTATATATTGAAAATATCTATTACCAATCTTGAAACTAGAATTTTTGAAGGCAGATGAAGTAGACAGGCCTCTACAAAAAACGAGTACCATAAAAAAGGTATTTTAAAATTAGTATAAGGTTATTCTTTTTTGCCTTAGTTCAATGATATTTTTTATTTTATAATATAAATGAAATAATATTTCGAATTATGTATTGATGTATTCATAATTCTATCAACTTGCCTATTTTCAGCCAGAACTCCTTTATAAATATCAATAGCATCCTGATAATGAGAACGAAGGTAATGCAAACTCGCAAGACTAAGTTGATCCTCAATTACGTCGTGCAAATTTTTGTGATATAATAAAAGTGCACTTTCGTCTCCAGATTTGTGAGCCAAATGAAATAATAATCGAGCTTTCAATGACCCATCTGGCAGATCCTCAATATTGCTACTACATTCATTGTAACATCCTATGTAAATATTTTACTACATCAAAATAATGAACCAGACAAAAAGTTTTTTTTTAGTAAAATATATGTAAGATTAAATACCTAAATAAAAATTGCAGACAGCAATATTCAATAAAATATTGGAATCATTTTGATTTAACTTATATGCAGTTTCATACATTTCCTTTGCTTTTTTGTAATCGCCCAGATGGAAATAGCAAAAGCCCAACCATAATTTTTGTAACAATTCATCGCCAGTTGTCCGGGAAAACTATGCATTTTTAAAAGTGTTTTTTATTTGAATTATATATTTTGTATTTTATTGTAAGAAATTACAACCTCTAATAAAGTTATAGCACCAGTATAGTCGCGACTCTCTAAAAATTCATTGAAGTTCAATATTTTAAATTTAGTTGTGAATTTTGTCGAAGTTGTATCTACCGCAGGTTTGGACCTCGAAAGAATCTATAAAGCATTCATTATTAATATGTGTTAAATATTATTGTATAATTGTAATTGATTCACCATTCTCTTCTGGATAAAATTTCAATTAATTTCTGCAAGCACACGCAATATATATTATTTTGACTTGTCTCATTATTTTTTTCTCAGTGCTTTGTTTACGCCTTTTACAAATTGCCTTGGCAACGGTACAAGAGCCTATCAAATCAAAAGCACGTGAAAAGCGTTTCTAAAGATGAAAAAATATGCTTTTACTAATTTACTATAAATATCTAGAACGTTTAATGAAAATTATCAATTTTCAGTATATATTTGATAAATTTTTGAGTGTTTTTATTGTTGATTCTTAGTGATTGAACAGTGAAGTAAGAAAAGTTGTAAGTCGTGAAAATAAATGAAAGCATGTACAATGTTGAAGAAGAGAAAAGTTGTTGAATTATCTAGTGATGAAGAAATTTTTATGGGAACACCTCCTAACCAGGTTTGAAATAATATTTATATTTTTAAATTTGTTATAAGATATCTTTAATCATAAATGTATGTATATAAAAATATCATAAATCATAAGTATCATAAATGCATATATATGTGAACATAGATAAAAGAAGAGTATATGTATGTGAAACAAAAGAATTCTTTCGCAATGTATTTTTCAAACGGTTTGAGAAGTTCAAGATTTCACTGATTGAGAACCTTCTTTTAGACAAATTTTAAATTCTTTAATATGGCAGCATTGCACTTTACATATTGTAAGTGAAGGAAAGTGAAAAGCGTTAACAAATCGGTTGACAATTAATTTATTTGTCAAAAACGTAATACTTCAGATTATGATATAATACAATTAATGTCAAAATGTCTCAGGTTAATATGTTTACATAATAACTCAAAGGACCTACATCAATAACTTTCTTAATTTGTGACGTTTAATTCTAGGATATCAGATCATTCTTTTCAAAAGCTTCTAATAAACGTAGCTCAAACAATGACTCAGAAAAATCTAAAGATACAAAGAAAAGATCAGCAGTTCTTTCTAGTGATGAAGAAGTTTTTGTCGGAACTCCTCCGGCTAAGGTAATTTATAAGCAATTTTACATGGTAACATAAGTTGATAGGCTTTCATACATTTGTCATCATGAATTTTGATACATAAATATTATATTAGAGTACTGAACACATATTTTATTACTCTAGAAGTAAGAAATGTCCATGTCAGTGATTTACGTCCTTCATAAATAAAATCTATCTGTATAATCTATCTTAAGTCAATAATTTGTTATATTAAGTTCAATTAATTGGTCACTTAATTATAGAAAATTTCAATTGACTCGGCATTACACAATGGTTCTACAAGAATATTGATATTGATTCATATATCAAAATTTACTATTGATAATTAGCCTAGTTACTTAACCTTTTTAAAATATTCACTTAGTTTGAAAATTATAAAAGCTGACAACAATTCTTTAACAAATACTCTGATCAACATTTCTAATAATAATTATAATATTTATAAACACAGAAGAAAAAGCCACAGAAAAAAAGCAGAATTCTTGATGACTCAGACACAGAAGATAATCATGAAACGAAAAAATCAAAATCAAGTCATGAATCAAAAAATAAAAAAAGTAAAACTCCTGTCAAAGCTGCAGATATTTTTGGAAAAGAACCAGTTAAGAGAATTGAGAATAAAATTAAAACGAAGCCTAAACCTAGTATAGATTTAGCAGATATTCATGATGATGAGGCTTTTCTTGAAACCTTAGACAAAGTAGAAGAATTAGAAGCACTCGATAATAAAAAAGCGACTAGTTCCAAAACCAAAACACCAGTCAAAAATAACAATGGTAAGAAAGATAAAACCCCAAGTAAAGAAACTAAAACTCCAGTGAAAGAAAATATTAAGAAAGATAAAACCCCAATTAAAGATAATAAAACTCCAGTAAAAGAAAATAAAACAAGCAAAAATCAAACACCATCTAAACAAGCATTGCAAAAGAGAGTGCTTGAAGAAAAAAAATCTAATAAAGATGAAATAATAAGAAAATCCAAAAGCCCTGCAAAACCTGATTCTAAAGAAGAGGATAGATCTAAACCATCTTCCACAAAAAAAAGAAAAGTTGATGATAGCATGAATGATAGTTTTGCAGGTCATGATGCCAGTTTTAATGATAGTGTTAGTGGTCAGTATTGATCATATATTTGTTATTATATAGAATATATTTTCTGTTTCAAAATTTGTTACTACAATATCTCTGCTTGAAGTACTAAACTTTTCTGTATATTTTGTTGCAGTGTAATTAATATTTGAAGGATCTAATCTGTATAATGTATCTTGAATATTAATCAGAGTTTCATAAAACTTACAATTATCAATCATGTACTAATTCTAATGAAACAATGTGATAATTGTACATATTAATAAGAAAAACATTATATTATGTTCAACACCTTTATTTCTGCAAATAATAATCAAATATGAATAAGAAAGCATTATATTCATCGTAGTTTAAATTATAATTTTATTCATATTTTTTGTTCTGCCCAATTTACTAAATTTGTTTTTATTTTATGGATTTAGAAATTGATCCTGATCAAGAACGGTTTGAGAAGCGACGTCAATCAGCTGCTTTGTATCAAAAATTTTTAAAAAGGTCTGGTCCAAAAAATCCTGGAGGCAAAGAAATTCCCCAAGGCAAACCGGGATGCCTATCTGGATTGGTTTTTGTTATAACAGGAGTTTTAGATTCATTAGAAAGAGATGAAGCTGCCCAAATTATAAAAGACTTGGGAGGTAGAGTTCCCAGTGCAATCTCTGGAAAGGCAAGGACGCAATATTCATTATTTATTTTATTACTGATTGCAATTATTTAAAAATTAATCTTTTGACAAAAATAGGTTACACATCTTGTATTAGGGGAAGATGCTGGACCAGCAAAAGTTGCAAAAGCTGAAAGCATGAAAATAAAAATCATCAATGAAGATGGGTTGTTAGATTTAATTCGTGAGAAATCTGGTATACCACTTAAGAAGGAACCAGAGATCAACAAAGTAGAAAAAACTAGTGACAAAAAAATTAAATTGGAAAATTCAAAGGAGAATGAAATTAAAAGAGAGAAAGACAAATCAAAAGATTCTGTTAAAGATAGTCATAGTAAATTGAAATTTGGCAATTTGGGTAAAATTAAACAAGAAAAATGCTCGCCTGAAAAATATAAAAAGAACAAAGGTGAAGAATCAACTAGTATTAAGAAAGAAAATAGCATAAAATTAGAGACAACAATAAAAGGTAATATTTATCAGAATTAATATTATTATCCTTAATTTTCTAACAGAAAATATTTCTAACAGAAGAGAAAAGTACTCGTACATTAGATGAACATCATCATAATATAAATAGTATTGAAAATTTAGCTTGGGTTGATAAATACAAACCTACTTCATGCAAACAAATTATTGGGCAGCAGGGCCCAGCAAGCAACTGTGCAAAGTATGTAATTTTACACCTCAAATTTATATACTCTTAACTATATATAGTAATAAAGTAATTTAATAATAAATTGAATGTAGCATAATGATAATAATATTATATTTCTGTTGCTTGAATGTAACTTGTTTATTTCTAGACTTATGAATTGGTTGTCAAAATGGTATACAAATCATGATGGCAAAACGAAACTGACAAAACCAAGTCCTTGGGCTAAAAATGATGATGGTGCTTATTTTAAAGCTGCATTGTTATCTGGATCTCCTGGTGTTGGTCAGTCAATTTAAGAAGATGTGTTTATATTTAAAATTGTAATAAACATTTATTAAAGATTGTCTTTTAAAGGTAAAACTACTACTGCTACGTTAGTGTGCAAAGAACTTGGCTTTGATGTAGTTGAATTTAATGCTTCAGATACCCGAAGTAAAAAGTTGCTAAAGGATCAAATATCTGAACTATTATCAAATAAGAGTTTGTTTGGATTTGTTAATGGTATGTGTTACTTAAAGTAATATTATTTTATAAGATGCAAAATGATCTTAATATTTTGATTTTAGGGGCAAGTAAAGGAACTAGTAAAAAACATGTTTTAATTATGGATGAAGTAGATGGCATGGCTGGCAATGAGGACAGAGGTAGAAATTTTAATTTGTGAAAAGTTCACTGTTTATATATTTGCTATTAAGATTTAATATTCGATATTTATATAGAAGTACCTCTTTGGTTCTTATTTTATTGGTAATATTTCAAATTTAATATATTTTTTTAATATTCAATTAAAATTATATTTACCATATTCAACTATATCACTATAAGTTGTATAAAATTTTAGGCGGGCTTCAAGAATTAATAGGTCTAATAAAGAATTCATCAGTTCCAGTGATATGCATGTGTAATGATCGTAATCATCAGAAAATGAGGACGCTTGTCAATTATTGTTATGATTTACGATTTAATAAACCTAGAATGGAACAAATTAGGGTATGTGATAAATATGTAATGGCAAAACCATTAAATAAGTATACTTAATATATTTTTGTTTAGGGAGCCATGATGTCTGTTTGTTTCAAAGAAGGAATCAAAATAAACTCTGATGCTCTTACTGAAATAATAATGGGGGCGAATCAAGATATTCGACAAATATTGAATCATTTATCAATGTGGTCTTCTAATGATAAAAACATCACAACTAGCACTGCAAGTAAAGAAGCAGCCTCTGCAAAAAAGGACATTAAAATTGTAAATAAATTTTGATGTTTAACAATTTATTCTAACTAACATATAATTAGTGAAGGATTGCTTTTATAGGGACCTTGGGAAGTTTTAAGAAAAATATTTTCTAAAGAAGAACATAAGAAAATGACCATCCATGACAAAAGTGATTTGTTTTTCCAAGATTATAGTTTAATTCCACTATTTGTGCAGCAGAATTATTTAATTGTCTCTCCAAGCTGTCCAAAGTTAGTATCATGAATTCACATTAAGTTTATAACTTTGAAAAATTGTAGAATATTAATTATCTGTTGCCTTATTCTACTTCAAAAATTGCATGTGTAAAGTATCCAAGATTTGGATACATTTGTAGTTAGATTTGGATTTGATGGTGAAATTAAAAGTAATTTGTAATTTAAAAAATATTTCAGAGATGAAGTTTTGAAGAGAGTTGCTCTGACTGCTGATAGTTTGAGCTTGGGAGATCTAGTTGAGAAAAATATAAGATCCAACATGGCCTGGAGTCTCTTACCTACGCAGGTATGATAAAGATAATATAAATAGAATAAAGTTATGTCTATAAATGTGATTATATTTGCATTACTCTAATTTGCTAAATATCTTTGGCTATAATTGTATACATTTAATTAGGCAATGTTCAGTTCGGTACTACCTGGAGAGTATATGAGTGGCCATGTGGCAGGACAAATTAATTTTCCTGCATGGCTTGGAAAAAACTCCAAACGTAATAAACTGATGAGAATGTCTGCTGAAGTTCACTCACATATAAGATCTCGGTAAAAAAATTCAATTAAAATGTAGAGACTTTATAATCTTCTTAAGAATATTAATCTTCTTAAGAATATTCTATGTTAAAAATATTCTATCTTAATATATTTCTAGAACAACAGCTTCCAAGAATTCTGTTCGCTTGGATTATGCTAAACCATTACTTGAATCAATCACCAGGCCTCTTATGAGTAATGGTATGGCTGGTGTGCCTGATGCTCTTAATGCATTAAAAGAGTACCATTTGTTAAGAGAAGACATTGAAAATTTGCAAGAGTTTAATAATTGGCCAGGATCAAAAGACCCAATGTCAAACGTTGATGGCAAAGTATGTGATGGTTAATAAATCATTACTATAATTCAATAGAAAAAATATGATAAATAATGTATAATCAATATAAAGTATAAGTATTAAAAATGTTGTATGTTTATTAGGTAAAAGCAGCATTAACAAGGGCCTTCAATAAAGAGTTGGCTACCTTTTCACACAGTACTAGCAAGAAGAAAAATATTGAATCTGATGAAAATATTCTGCTTCCGAATGAGGAAGAACAAGATCAATTAGTTGAGAGTGAAGAGGATAATGATGATGTTGAGAACGATGCGCTCATTAAAGTAAATATCTTTCTTAGATAAAATCATTTGAAAATGTATTTAACATTAATTATAATTCATTATTAAGTATTATTCAATAATAGAGTTTTCTACTTATTAATATATGATTGTATATTATTCCAGGCTAAAAAGAAAACAACTGCAAAGGCTTCTGCAACTGCAGCAGCATCAACTTCAAAAGGATCATCTCGTGGAAGAGGACGTGGTAGAGGAAAGTAATGTGACATTACAATTTAATTTGTTGAATTGTTTTTTTTAATATGTTATAATTTTCTTGTTTATTAAAATCGTCAATAAACTTTATGAAAGAGGTTCAAAAGGCAAAACTTTTCCTCGGCATTCACCAAAACCAATTCTGACTCCATCTTTTTCACAAAATCCTGTTATATTTACTTCATCTCCGTCTTGTAAAAATTTGCGCGTCTCTCCTCCTGCTAGTTGCACAGGTTTTGTTCCTTTCCAGCTGAGCTCCAGCATTGATCCGAAAGAGTCAGATTCCTTTATGGAAATAATTAATAGTTAATAAATCATTTCTTTACATTTCCGCGGCTATTATAAAGTTTCAAAATAAGAATATTGTATAATGCTATTTAATTTTATAAAGTTAAAAAAAAATCTAATTTTTCACCTCTCCACTAATAGTGCCACTGGCCATTAAATCTCCTGGAGAAACGTTACATCCAGTCACTGTATGATGAGCTAACTGTTGTTTAGGCGTCCAGTACATATATTTGTAATTTGATCTGCATACAGTACTAGGAATTCCTCCTTGTGCTGTAAATCAATTATTTAATTAATTAATTCTATTTCCAATCAAATTCAATGTAAGATATTTTTATACATACGTTTAACATCAACATTAAGTTTAATATCAAAGTTATAGTTGTCGCTGTGTTTCAAATAATCAAATGGTTGTGGATCTTGGGGAAAGTTGTCTACTTTGAATGGCTCAAGAGCATCCATTGTAACAACCCATGGTGATATTGTTGTGCCCAAATTCTTTGCAGTGAATGGTCCCAATGGCACGTATTCCCATTTTTGTATGTCACGTGCTGTAATAGATATAGTAATAGGACTACAATGAGCATTGTTGAAGATTTTGTTGTTTATTTTGTTAAATTGAGAATTTGCTACTTCAATTATTGGAATTATTGAACAAATATACTAGTATACTAGCTGTAAGTGGAATTCTGTCTTAAGGCAATTAAGGCATCGTGCTTTAAGGCAAATTAAGTCTAACGCGTAAACATTGGTACGGAACCCATAGAAATGTAAACTAAATTTATACTTATTGTTCAAATCTCTATAAAATATCTGATAATTTGATGTGCATGTGTCTAATGATTATTTTTGACCGCCAAATGGCATTTTTTTTTTACTTTTTTCATTAGATCTACGAAACCGCTAGACCTGCCTTTATGAAAATTTGATCGGTTCTTCACCTTGTCAATACAAGTAAAATGTTTTTTGAATTATCAAAATCGGACGCTCCGTTCTCTTAAAAACTGAGTTACCGTTTTCGGCACTTTTTGCCCCGTATCTTCGGAACGGCTAGACCTGCCTTCGCCGAAAACTAATCAGCACGTCTCCTTATCAATACGAATCGAATGTTTTTTGAATTATTCAAATCGGTTGATCGTTGTTCCCGAAATCGTCGACGAAAATTTGTATCCGCACATACATACACACACGCACATACACACATACACACACATACATCAATTTTTTCTAAGGTATGCCAAAATATTCAGAAACCTTTGAAACGTCGAGAAATGCAAAAAATTTTATTTTCGATTTTTTTGCGATTACTATAACTTGCCCTACGGGAAGTTAATAAAGAAAATAAATTCAGTGAAATTAAATGTTGAAAATTTTTTCATTAATATATGATTTCATTACCGCTCCAATCATTCATAAGAACCATTCCAAAAATATGATCTTGAGCATTTGCAACTGGTACTCTTTGACCCAATTTTGTTGGCTTGCCACCTACAAAAAATGCTACTTCCAGTTCAAAATCCATAAGTCTGCAAGGACCAAAATGTGGTTCAGCTCCTAAAAAGACGTTATAAAATTAAGTAATTTTTTTATAAACGATTTACAATGTTTTATCAATTTACCATCAACTGGTAAAGTTTGTCCCAATGGTCTTCGGATATCAGTTCCAGAGACAACAACTGAGCTTGCGCGACCGTGATATCCAACCGGCAAATATTTCCTGCATTAATAAATATATAATTAAATCAAAATAATAAAAAAATATTTTCTTAATCTACAATACCAGTTGGGCATTAAAGCATTATCTTTTCCCCTAAACATTGTTCCAACATTGGTGGCATGATGTATGCTAGAATAGAAATCGGTGTAGTCTCCAATAGTAGCTGGTAAGTGCATGATGCACGACGCTTGTGGAAGCAATACTCTATAATTTAAGCAATGGTTTAGTATTAATATATTTTAAATGTATACTGTGTGTACTGAAACCATACTTTTGTTGGAGTTCTTCATTTCTGTGAAGTTCCGAACCTTCCAACAGCAATTTTTGTATGGTCTCCCTAATTTGTTTCCAATCAGATTTTTCTAGGCCCATCAATGGGTTGAGAGTTGTGGCACTAAGCGCATTCTATAATAAAGAAAATAATGATGCCTGCAAGTTTTGTAAAAAACAATTACAACTACATTAAATTGTGTAAACTGACCTGATATTCTGGTTTGAAAAAATGCAATACTCCACTCAAATCTAATACGAGAGCTCCAATGGCAACTCCAATTCTGTGCACAGGCTAAGGTAGAAAACGATTATTTAATTGAAAATTTTGCTAAATATTATAATGTATAACTAAGTTTAATTAGAATGTTTTCAACCAATAGTTATAAAGAAACGGCCCAGCCGATTTTTGCCAAAAAATAATAAACACTATTTCCAACCTATGTCTTTCGAACCGTTTTGAAATCAGTACAGCCGTTTTTAAAAAACTTCGACGAAAAGTCAAATTCGGTGCTCACAATTTTGGTCTCAAACGATTCAGAATAAGTTGAAACGTCGACAAAAAATTAAAATTAGCTTTTAGTTTTTTGGCCAAGACAAAGATTTCGAAATAAGAAAGTGAAATATTATTTTAATCATTTTTATATAATGAAACAATGCAATTGGCATTATTGCATACTGGTATTAGGGCATACGAAAATAGAGACAATTTATATTTAATCATCCATTAAGATATATATATATATATATATATATATATATATATATAAAGTATAAAAATGGTAATTAATTTAAAAGTAATTATTATTCTGTTGAAATTCTAAGGCAAAATTTATTAACTTTATTGCATGGGTCTTGGTCCAATATGAAATTTTGGTTGCTAAATAAAATTAAAAAAAAATAAAGATGTATTTATAAATATATTTTAATTAATAAACAAATATATGTTTTCAGAATGCGAATGTTGAGTACTGAATGCACCTTGAATATTTGCACAATAATACGAAAAAAATAAATTAATAAAAATGGTTTCTCATCCCTGGCATAGATAATAAATTGACCTTCAATGTTGTCCGCTTGACATTTACTTTATAATCTTAAGAAAAATGTTTGAAATTAAAATGGAAAAAGGATTTTATATAAAAAAAAGTTTTATTGATTAGTAATTAGCAATAAAGCATTTTTCTAGATATTACTAAAATGTATATATTGTTAATACAGTTTTCAATGCATAATTTTATAAATAAACAAATAATTAAAACCCTTACATTTGCCGGTGTCGAAAATACGCCGTATGGTAAATTTTGAATAGGAAAATCACATCCTGGATCACAGGGAACAAAACTTTTCATTTTGATATATTTTTTGATTTATAAAATTTAAAACGGACCTATTCGTTCTCGGTTCAAGACACGTACTGACTGTGGAAAATATAATATAACCAGTTTATTCATTAATTTACATAGCTGATGGTCCGGTTTCAATGATTTAGAGATATATTTAATCACCTCATTTTCAGGTATAAAATTCAAAAATTCTTTACATATTCATATATTTATGCTTGTCGCATTTTATATCGCTTGCCGCACGTTACGGCAGGTATGTAAATATTGACATAATAGATTTAGATAAGAGTACAGATAAAATAAAATTTAAGATAGTATCTTCAACGAAATCAAAGAAAATATGTTGTTTTGCCCATTGCAATTAAAAATATGCGACAGCCATAACTCTGGAACGAGCTCAATAAAGGATATAAAATTATTAGAATTTAGTCCATTGGAGTATGATTTATATTTATATTTATTTATTCGAATAGCAGCACAGAATTCAAAAGCCATTTAAGCTGTTTTGCAATTTTCTAAGCTACATAGCAACCCAAAGGTTTGACTATCTCCTATGAAATGCAGCAATGTTGGCTAAGGGCTGTTTTCACTTGGAAACATATTTCCATATAACATATATATTTTCAAGAGAAAACGGATATCACTACTGCTTGACATCTGAATGTCGAAGCGGAAATCATGTCTGAAACCTCTTGTTTCGAAGGAGCTTTCACCACAAGGCCACGGAAAGCTTTCCCTTAAATATGTTTGGTAAAATCAACGTTTTTGTTCAATTAACTCTGTTCCATGAGTAGTCTGAATTGGGACTATATAAAACACATTAAAAAAATTTAGGGAGCGTTCATTAATCACGTGAGCGAGTCTTTAAGGATTTTTGCCCCCCACCCCATCCTCTTGGTGATACATTGTGATATTCAAAATGACATTTTCTTCCCCACCAAACATCACGTTAGTGAAAAAACTGTAGTATTTTTAAATAAAGTATTCCTTTTTTTAAAATGTCTGATTTAAAAAAAATCAGTTAAAAAATAAATAAACGTGATATCTTAGTATACGCTTCTGTCCCCCACGTGATATTTCGTAATTTTTTGTCAACCCCTCTAAATACTTCACGTGATTAATGGACGCCCCCCTTTATGTATGATGTAAATAATTCTACATTGTATACATTTTAATTATTGTCTTAACTATTGTAAAAGACAATAAATATATTATATTCTAATCATTCCTAATCTATGATTCAAATATTGCTTAAGCTGTTAACTAACTACCTAAAGATTACTACTCATCAAAATAAAAATATAACATTTTCGAAATTCAAATAAAATTATTGTAAATAAATAAAAGTATGTAATTATAGTATTCGAGTTTTTCTATTTGTTCCAAACATGTATTATTATATTGCCTAGGAATGGCCTAGGCCTAGGGTCTGTAGGGTATGCCTGGTGTTTCAAGCCTCGACAATATGAGTAGAACATTGAAATATTGAATTTGAATATTGATATTTTTGGTTATAAAATTACTAAAATCATAAGATATTTGAATATAACTGTTATTTTATAATGCATTTTTTAAATTCAAAAATCAAAACGTCGATGGTTACCACTTTCGGAATTCGTAGAATTACGAAATAATTTCAATATTACATTTTGAAAAAAATAATAAATATATAACTGGCAATCAAATCTTAGTCAAAACAAAACCCGTACAGCATTTTTATTTTCTCAACGCTTACTTCCATTTATGGAATGGTTTCAAACCCCTGTTTTCTATTATCTGAAGTTAGTTCCGTATTTAGACATATAGATGTCATATCAAAACTGGTATAAACAAAATATTTATCGTGAAATAAATATGTAGTGCGAATTTCTTATAACCTCTTGTTTTATAATTTTATTTTAAGTATTAGTTTGATTAGTATTTGTGATACAAAAATTATTTAATATGTGAATATTTAATATTTATTTAAATTTTTGATTTTTATATAATATTTTAAATACATTCTTGTTGTATGTTATGTCTCAAGTAAGTATTAAATTCCTACTTAAAAATTCTTACAGCATTTTTAGATATTAATTATTGAATTCAATTTAACAGTCAACACCAATAAACAAAATTAAAGGTCGTCCTTCTATTAGGTCAACACCGGATCAGAATATGAGTCTTAATAATTCTACTGACAAATCACATCAAGCTAATAATGAGTAAGTGTATAATAATTATGTTTTAATTAAGTTTTAAATAAGTTCATTATAGGAATATTTCAATTGTAATTTAAAATCAACTATACAATCTTGATATTTATAACTCCAAACATTTTCAATGACTATTTAATGTTTTAGAGTTAATCATACAAGAAAAAGTTCATTATCTCGTAGTGGTTTGGAGTTGAGTCAAAATCGAAATAATTCAAAAAATGAAAGTGACATTAGTGATGATTTGTCTCCAAGAAGTGGAAGGTATATATAAAAATTGAATTTAATTTTTACAAGGCTTTCTCTAAATGTTAAAGCAATTTGAAATTTTTCGAAAATTTCTAGTGATGAAGATAGCAGCCCTGAGAATGTGCGATATGGATCAAGTGATGAGGATAAAAGACATTCTGAATCTCAAAATAGAAGAAATAAGGAAAAAAATAAATACAAAAATAGGAATATAGATAAGGAATGTGCTAATATAAACATAATTAACATACACAAACAAACAAAAAATCCACCAAATTTTGAATATTACATCATTGCGATCATTATTGGGGTTATAGCTGTTCCTGTATTTTATAATTGTTTAAATAAATCAAAAATAAATGGTTATAAAGAAGATATAGAAAGATTAAAAATCAATTTTCCTTCTCAGAATGCACAATTTTGGTCAGTTGTATATTCTGGACTTCATAATGTGATAGATCGTAATTCCAAATTTAAAGCCACAGTTTTCTTATTTTTACACCCGAAGGATATAAACAATGCATCTATAAATTTAAGCCGAGAAATTGCTAAAATAGCAGCAAGAAGTTTAGGTATGATTTATTGAAGAAATACTTCAGTAAAATATTTTCAATTCATAACTTTATGCATGTTACATTTTTCATTAGAAGTTTTTACAAATTTTTGGGATCTATTGAAAAAATGAAAGATAATACATCTAAAAGTTGAAATTATCCATTTCCATTGATAATTAAGTTGTTTAATAATTTCTAATGTTAATTAATTAAATAATTTTATTTTATTTTGTAATAGGTGATTTATTCTCTTCTTACACATATATTTTGAGAAATCACACAAAATATATGTAACTAAAATGTATCTTTTCTATAATAGTTACCAATTCTTTGAAGGTACAAGTGGACCAATATTTGTAACTGAACAAGACATTAATAATTTACCTAACGAAAGGGGTTATTTTATTGAACAATATCGCTCAGATCTTGAAAAACAAAAAGTTCTAGTTCTTCCGGATTTACATAAGGTAAGTAGTCTCTATTATTTTTACCTACTAATGTATTTAATTATTTATTTGAGACAACATGTATTTTAGATTCCTCCACATATTGCGGAATCTTTACATTTTGTTTGTGATGTAGAAAATCCTCTAGTACAGAAGTCTATAATTATCTTAACAATGGAAATTACGAACATCAATCTCAAAGGTATGATTTTTTTTTTTTCGTATATATTGGACATCAGATTTTGATCTTGTACTAGTATATATTTAGATTTGTGCATGATTTATTTGAAGGCAATTTTTTTTGCAAATGACAATGTCTGTTGATAAATAACATTTTCAACATCAATATATATTAATTAATAATATTTATATATTGTTTCTAAATAGTGCCTCCTCTAAGACAAATAGAAAATATTCTGCAAGGATTATGGAGTCCACCACTAAGCGACAATAAAATTGAACCGATTATAACAAGATTAACCACAAGTGTCTCTATGATCACCCCAGAAATTGTTTATTATGGCAAAAGCAACTGAATCAGATATATTTTTATAAGTATTAATAAAAGATTAAGAAAGAATTCAATTTTACACTAATTTATTTGTTTTATCTACATTCATATGAAATATCTCATTTCTACATCAATTTTTTTCATAAATCCATTATTAAAGTCCTGAGCTGTTATTGTTTTCTTGTTTAACAATCTTACAGAGTCAAAAGTTACATAACTAGAGTCTTTGCACATAACATATAACATTTTGTCAGATTTATTGTAAGTAACATAGCCTGGAGATGGAACAATGCTGGATTTGTCATTACCAGATTTTTGAATATTTTTAATTACAAAATCTGTATGATTGCAAATGTTGCAACCAAATAATTTTATGCTTACTCCTTGCCAGTTAGTTGTTAGAGCATATAAGTTATACACAGCTCTATGCAAGTTATAAATCTGTTCAGCAGTTTGATTATTCCAATTAATGTTGGCTAGTGATGGATTCACTTTTGGAGCTGGAATAATATTTGTATATTAATAGATGATGAAAAAAAAGAAATGATGTTATGTTATAATAATATTACCATATGTAACATCATCATTTGACTGTGATTTTGCATTTGATAAATTTCTAGGTAAGTCCTTTAAACATTGAATTAATAAATGAGCTCCTTCGTTGGCCAGAGTATTTTTCAAATCTGGCATTAGAATGTTTGCCTCTATTGGAACTGACTTTTGTAGAATTACCTTGCGAGAACAATATCATTTAAATGTTACCAATATAATTGATTTTATGTTCATTGAGGCATGCTTAATAATGCTGTAATTCTGATATGAAAGCTTTCTATATAAATATATAAATGAAATCTGAGATTTTTGATTACATGATCCTTCATAGTTAGGAATAAAAAATATATACATTTTAATATAACAATATTGTGTTATTAATAAGGAATAGTTTAAAATACCTCGCCTATATCGAAATGATTAGGTTTTATCTGCATAATAGTAACACCCGTCTCTTTATCTCCATTTAAAATAGCATGAATAATTGGTGCCGCTCCTCTCCATCTTGGTAATAAACTTGCATGAACATTTAGCATTCCACTAAAAGAAGTGATTTAAATAGTTCTAAATACATATGCAATATTGACAAACCAACTTCGGTATTTTATATATGTGACATAGAAATGAACTTACTATGGAAAGTAATTAATAATATGTTTTGGTATTAAATGTCCAAATGATACAACAATTCCTAGGTCAAATTCTTCATGTGAAGGTACAGTTACAGGCCAAGAATGTATTTTCAAATTATTTTGTTTTCCAAATTCTATAACTTTATTTCCTTTATTATGTTTGCTACTTGATGTTACTATTTCTAAACGTTTTAAACAACCATTATCTCTGAAATTTATAAAATAATTTACTTATACATAAAGTATTGGTGAAGAATAATAAGATATTTTCATTTTTATCTTACAATTCTTTAAAAAGTAACCTCAAACTTGTTACTGAAAATTCATCGGTGCCAAAAAACAGTACTCTATATTTATTAAAAATTTGTGAGGAAAAAAATGTTTTTTGGCTAAATTCAACATTATTCCAATATAAAAAATTACATCTTTTCACAAATTGCATTATATTTTCTTCGGTCAAGCATTATATTTTATTTATTTTCTAACCAAGATTATTATGTGATCAGATGATATTTAGCTATTGAATAACTTGCAGATTATATATAGATTATATATTTTAAGATAAGAGATAAAAATTGGTAGAATGAAAAATTATTCATGACTTTGTGTTTAAGCTAAATGTCATTCCATTTTCACGTCTTTGCTTATGTTGATAATCTATTAATATGTACATTAATTCATTAACATTCGAAACTCCCGCAAAGTTATGATAAATTTTATAATGTTGGCACAACTTAAAAATTATTTTTATGAATGCTTCCAAAACGTTTCGTTCTAAAGCATAGATTAAATATATAAAAACATTTATTTTACGCATATTACCATGTTTATTCTAAGAATATGTGCATTTTGGTGAAAGATGAAGAATTTACAATTTAAATTAAATAATTTTTCTTTATGAATATTTCAATTGATAATTAATTATATTAAAATCCAATCACAAGTAAAAAACTTTAAGTTTTTACTATACTCTAAAAAGTATATAAAATTGATTGCTTTTTTATGAATGTTAACGTATTTAAAAAGCTGTTATTAAAAGAATATTAAATTATAAGTATGTATTTCTAAATTTTATTAATAATTGATTCTCAATGTTGACCTAGTCATAGATAAAAGAAGAGTATATGTCGCAGACCTCACCGATTGATAGTCTTTGATATGGCTGTAAAATGGCAGACCGAGCACAGAAGTGCCAACAAAATTCTTTTACAGCTCTTTTGGTCAAAGATAGACATCCGGTATGTACCGAAACTTAGAAATAAAAATATAATTTAGTTAAATTAATTGAAGATCGTAGTTCTAAAGTAAATAATTATTAGGTTCGATAGATAAATTATTACTAATATAATATATCAAAATGCTTTTTATGTGATTCCAAATTTGTCAGATGTTTGAAGATTTTTGTGACATCTTATGATAGTGCTTGCAAACAGTGGTGTACAAAAGGATTGTTATTAATCAAACTGCATTAACTTTTAGGTATGGCCGACACAACTACGAAAAAGGCTGCAAAGCCCCTAGAAAAAAAAACTAAAGCACCCAAAGGTGAGCCTGTTGCATTGAAAAGGCGACCTTTTAAACGTCATGGAAGACTTTATGCTAAAGCTATTTTCACTGGATACAAACGAGGTCTCAGGAATCAGCATGAAAACACAGCTCTCTTGAAGGTAATATTAATATTGCTCTCAATTTTGGTTTTGTAGACGACATAACCTAATTTTATATCATTGCTTCATGGCTGACAAAACATGTGTCTGTACAATTCAATATGTACGCCTTTTACAAATCTGCTAACAAAATACTGAATGTATACTTTAACGAATGAAACTTAGAATAGTCTATACGTTTTAAGTAAATATAATTCATTTAACTTCTTACCCAACACTAAGATGCCGATAACTTCATGCAATTTGGACTTGTAATGTATTCTTTGAATAATCTAATCTGTTTCTATCCCTTTGAAGATCATGACATATCGCATTAACATTTTAGTGATTTACTATGATGTCTAGACATTTGAAACCTGAATATATTGTTGAAAAGCTTTACTGAGTGCACTACTCATTCTACCATAACAAAATTAATAAAAATTACAATTATCTAATATTTCTTCTATTTTTCAGGTTGAAGGTTGTGGTACCAAAGCCGATAGCTGGTTCTATGTTGGTAAACGATGTGTATTTGTGTACAAAGCTAAGAACAAGACCTGCGTACCTGGCAAACCAAAGAAGGTTAAATCAAAAGTACGCGCTATTTGGGGCAAAGTAACACGGCCACATGGATGCTCTGGTTGTGTTCGTGCCAAGTTCCACAGAAACCTTCCAGCAAAAGCAATGGGTCATCGTGTTCGTATAGTAAGTGATTACACTTTAAATTCTTATCTAACTATTAGTGCAATTACTGCAAAGTTTATTAATAAGTTAATATTTACTTTGTGTTTATACTATCGTAATATGTTTCTTGTCTTTTTAATGGTTTAGAAAGATCACAATTGCTTATCTGAAATTTCTTTTTCAAAAAGGTCTTGAGAAAAAGTTATGCGTCCCATTGATTTCTTAATTTCCTAATTTAATGTAATTTTTTAATTTTAATATTTATTTGTTACTAAATATTAATTTTTTAGTTCTGCCTTTATGAAACTGAATTAACTAAAACATTTGTTTTTTAGTTGCTTCTATATATATTTTAATCCTCTTACATTTTTGGTAACATGTTAATAATTTGGTTCAAATAACACATTTGAAACTTCAATGACTCTTTGTATTCAAAGAATTACTCTATTATATAATTTCCTATAATACTATTATGTATTAAATTAGTACCTAACCAATTTTTTTTCTGAAGCACATCACCGAAAGGATCATGCAAATGATGTCTTGACATTTGAAACCTGAATATTTGGTGTGGAAAACATTCACTGAGCATACATTTTTGTTCTATGCTATTCAATAATTTTGATGACCAAATCTAAGGACAATTTTTGTATTTTTCAGATGCTGTTCCCATCCAGAATATAAGGCATAGGATTCATCTTTTGTTATAAATTATAAAATAAACCCTATAAAAAAAATTACATAAGCGTTTCATTTAATTCAAAGTTTTATTTTATCAGTAAGCTATTTATTTGGTGATTTTTGCAGTTGCACAATTGAAATATTCTTAGTACAATTTTTTTATAAATTAAATTTTATATTGCATTATGTTTCGTGTTCATAATCAGTCTGATTTAGAATTCAAACTGCAATAAATGGAACTCTCCAAGCCCAACTCAATTATTGCAATTATCTTTCTTAATTCTACTTTCAAATAAATGTTTACTTCCCACAAATTCTACTTTGGCTTTTTTTGCTAAAGTATTACCTGTTATGGTAGATATTTTTTTTACATTTTTGTTGTACTGGGTTGGAATAAATAGTCTTTAGTTCTTTAGGAATTTTAGCAGGGAGGCAAACCTGCACATGTTACCATTACTGTCAGTCTCTTCAGAAATTTTATGATAAATTAAAGCAATTTTTATAAATTTGTCATATTTTCACTGTTCACATTATTTTTTATTCTTTGTTCAAATATTTTGTTTTAAAATAATTTATTTAACCATGGCAGCAGTGTAATAGCATATTGAAAATTTTGTTGGTCTTAAATACATAGAAAGTCTAATAAATTCAAACATTTAAAATAAATATAGTGTGATTGAGAGTAAATTAGAATTAAAAATAAAAGTTCAATTTTTTGTATTATATAAAACATTGGTTAAAATCGTTAATTTGTTTTAAACTAGTAGTCAAAAAAAACCCAATTTCTAAATTATTAATGAAATTGTTACATGTAAATCTATTACAGTGAGTGCAAAGCTAAAACATTTCATGACTATTTTGAGTGCTAATATAATGTATGTAAATCCACTTTTAGGGAGTGTAAATTTAAACGAGTGTTGATCCAGTGATTTATAATCTACTACAATAAGCGTAAATCTACTACAATGGGAGTAAATCTACTGCAATGAGTGTAAATCTACAACAATGAGTGAAAATCTATGACAAAGTAAGTAAATCTATCGTATCGTATCTAATTATTTTATGTTGTGAATACTTAATGTAGCTACTGCAGTATCGCCCATGTCAAATATATGGGACCCATTCGTATACATTTATAATTTCATGTGAACACACATATGCATGCACACACATGGTCAGATACTATATTATTATCTTTTCTCACTCTATTGAATTTCGTTTATTTAATTAATATTATAAACAACAAATCAAAAGTGATGATGTTTTGTTGTTTTCTTTAAATATGAAACTACATATAAGCATATGTTTATGCCAAAAATCATTTAAAACAGAAATATATAATTAAGTATTATAATTATATATTCGTCCTTTTTTCAAACGTCCATTTTTCATCTTTTTATTATTAACACTAAATGTGTTTCCTTTTTCAATGGCTTATGAAAAGTCTTGTTCAACTTGATCCTTGTGTACAGAACTCTTTGAAATATACCAGTTTGTGGCAGAGATGGTTATTATACTATTATTATCGCCGCTAAGTCAATAAGGAATGAATATTTAATGAATCTTAACCGCCTTAGGAATCTTGTTGATGCACTTTGCTTTGATCTATTGATAGTACCTGATTTCCTGCAATTATAAATCGGCTTCATTCAAATCATATAGTATTATTAATAGGTAAAATTGTTTAGAAAATGGGTCTATTATAGTTTATTATAGGTGCATATCAAAGCACCCCTGACTCTGGTGGATATTAAGCTTAAACTTTTAACTTCCCGAAAGACAAGTTTATGTTTTTGCCAGAAAATCTGGCTTGTTAATTTTATGGCTTTTCGACGTTTCAATTGAAATTTCAATGATTTAACAACTCATTCTGAATAGTTTCAAACCAAAATTAGAAAAAAGTTTGTATGTATATGTGAGTCAAAAAAAATTAAATGTAGAGCTCACGTTTTTTCATAATTAGCATAAAAGTGTAAAATTTTTCATCCACGCTGTAACTGAAAATCCGAAACCGATTTTGAAAATTTAAATACTGTTCGAAAGATATCAGTTGGAAATCGTACTTATTGGTATTTGGCCCGGTCGTTCCTTTGTAATTAATAGTTGAAAAGTTTTTTTAGAAGATTTTTATCAATTTTATTATCATTTTATCTCAGATGTTAGTTAAGATAATAACATAATTAGAAAAAAAGTGCAAATATTGTCATGTCGCTAAAAATCCTAAACCGATTTTGAAAATTTAAATAAATACTTGTTCGAAAGATATCAGTTGGAAATTGTACTTATTGGTGTTTGGCCCGGTTATTTCTTTGTAATTAATAGTTGAAATTTTTTGTTTCGAAGATTTTTATTAATTTTATTATTATTTTATCTGAGATATTAGCTAAAGTGATCGGCTTCCAAAAAGTAGTGTGATTATTATAATTGG